GGATCAATTTGATTTGCCTTGCAGTCAAACAAAATAATTTCATTGTAGATAGCACCATAATACATCTGGAAAAAATATATGGGTTATATGCTCATATTTTAAAAAGTGCCTTGGAAAGCAGTAATCACAGGAGGACATACAGAGAACTGTCTGAACAGGAGACCTTGCTGAAACAGTACAGCAAAAGGGATTAGAATGACCTTACAGGGGTCTGTAAAGGGGAATACAAAGTAGAAGGTAGAAAGTACAAGAATACTGAAGAGGGACTTTTTACAAGGGCATATAGAGATAGGACAAAGGGGAATGGCTTTAAACTGAGAGTGGATTTAGGCTAGACATTAGGAAGAAAGTCTTCCCTGCGAGGATGGTGAAGTGCTGGAACAGGTTGCCCCAAGAAGCTGTGGCTACCCCATCCCTGGCACTGTTCAAGGCCAGGTTGGATGGGCTTGGAGCAACCTGGTCTAGTGGAAGGTGTCCCTGCCTATGGCGGGGGGGTGGAACTAGATGATCTTTAAGGTCCCTTCCAACCCAAACCATTCTGTGATTTTATGACATGATTCTAAGTTGCCTGACCTTTGTATGTATACTACTATAACACAATGCTTCCTAATTTGGTGTATCTGCTTGCAACATCCAAATACCGGAAAGCGTGCAAAGGAATGTCACAGAAAGTGGTCTTGATGCTGAAAATCGTATCATAATGCTTATAGCATTATATCATAATGCTATCACATTATGATAGGTGTCTTGCAGGGCTTGGGATATCCCATTTCGTGAAGAGAAGTTTCACAGCTGATTTCATTAGTGCATCCTGGAACCTGCAAATGGAAAACATATCCAAGAATAGGTGCTAGTCAATCTCTGTGAAAAGATTAGTAAGATCCAGTGACTGGAATTTTAATTTAGACACACAGAAAAAGAGATAAAATTGTTTTAGTTGCAAACAAGTCACACTGCTGTTTGATCTCACCACGAGTCACCAAATCACATATATGCTAAAGCTTTGATATCTCTGAATGTATCAGTTCCTCCATTCTTCTTGTTCCTTGGTGGGACATCATAAGAAGAGTTTCCTGAATTGCTGTCAATATACCCATGTAAGACGTGCTGGAACGGTCTAGACTCACTGGATTGTTGGGGTTTCACAAAGAAATACATGCACATTGCCAGCATGGCAGACAGGTCACAGTACATGTCCCAGCCTTACACTCTGTGAAAGCATTACATGATATATAGAATTCAAAGAACAGAAAATTAGAAACTATAATTATTTACAGCAGTCACTAACTTGCTGCCTAAATTAGGGCACTTAAAATGGGATATGTCTCTCTAATCCTGTACAGCTGTGGCCACAGGCTCCCTTTCCAGTGAACAGGAAGAACTGAGGGAGTGGTTCACCTGGGCTACCTGACAGCCATCTAAAGGTAAACCACACACCATGAACGCTTGCAGTATAGGATTAGGTGAGATTAATCTAGCCACGTGCCTCAACGATGAAACCTGTGAAGTACACAAAGTAGTATTTCTGACATAATTACTTGGGCATTAGGCTGATAACAAATTTGTCTTGGAGTTAATAGGAGGGCTCTCTAATTCAAGGCCTTTTGGCACACACAAGCCCTGGCATCAGATAGACTGAGACTAGCAGGGGGATCAGCATTAACAAAATGAAAGCATTAATTTGCATGCCTAACATTTAACTGTTCTTTTGAGGTGTAGCTGCGAATGCGCTCCTCCAAAAGATGTTTATCTAGGCACAAGCAGCACCAACTGACTCCAGTGAATCACAAAATCCTTTAGCTTGGAAAAGACCAATGATGATCTTGAATCATCAAGTCTAACTGTTAACCATGCACTGACAAGTACAACACTAAACCATGTCCCCGAGCACCACATTTAGACATCTACTAAATACCTCTAGGGATGGTGACTCAACCACTTCTCTGGGCAGCCTGTTCCAGTGCCTCACAACCATTTCGGTGAAGAAATTTCCCCTACTCTCCAATCTAAACCTCCCCTGCTGGGAAGCACGGGATAGGAGCAAAGAGACTGCTGGTGTGCAAGGCAGTTTTCAGCAACTTAACATGGCAATATCCAACTGTTACTTGGTCATACTTGAGTATCTGGAGTGCTGTGGGGGCACTGAGAGCTGCCACTCCCTGTAGCAAGATGCACTTTGCAAAGGGATTTTTAGGCAGGGAGGCACCTTTTATCAGCCTAACCCCCCAAAAAAACAACCCCAAAACAAACAAAAAAAACAAACAAAAACACCACGAAAGAAAACCACAAAAAGAAACCCAAACCAAACAAATAAAAAAACCCAAGCCCAAACCAAACCACCCCCCCCCCCCAAAAAAAAAAAAAACACCCCACAAAACCCAGCCACAAACCTAACAATGGAAGATCTTCAGATCTTTATAGACTATCAGCCTACAATTACACTAAAACCTAGCATATTCTGTTTTAGGTAAGTGTGGGAGCTGCAGACCATGTGCCACGGTAATGGGCTGAGAACGGGCACGGCCACACCTTGGTCAAAACCCCACGGGTACTGCCCACATGAAGAGTAGCTGCCTTCAGTAACAGCCTAAGGAATGGCCACGGTTGTTCACACAGTTTCGTTACCCGCGGAAGATGCGGAGAGGAAGAAAGGCCGCCGGACAGGGAGCGAAGCAGAGATGAAGGCACGTGGGGCGCGGGAAGATGATTTCCCCTTAGGAACCCAGCCGAGACCCCTCACAGCCAGGCGGGCACATCGCATCCGCCACTGCTCTCTCGGGCGGTAACGGCCCCAAGCCAAACCCCAAGGAAGGGCAGACCAGTCTGCACCGCCGCCGCCTCCACCTCCACCCGTTCCCAGCCGGGGTCCGCGGCGGGGGCGGGGGCAGCGGGCAGGCACCTCCCTGAGCGGCTCCCCCGGTCCTGACGGCGCTTCCGGGCGGGGGAGCCGGGATGTGCGTCCGGGTTGGGTCGGCCCCAGCGAGCGGTTTCCTCTCGCCTTCCCTCCTTCCCCCATTCCCTGCCTCTCTCCCTACCTCGCCGTCGCTGAGGTGGAGCTGCCGCCGAGCCCTCTGAGGGAACGCCGCCCGCCCTGCTCCTGCAAGGGAACGGGTTGGTGTGCGGGGCCGCAGGCTGGAGGGAGGGAATCGAGGCGCTGGCCGGCGGCTGGGGGAGCTCCGGGGCGGGAGGGCGCTGGAGCGGTGCGGGGCTGGGGAGGCGGCGGGTCGGGCGGTGGAGGGGCCGGGGCTGCGGGAGAGGGGCAGAGCCCCCGCTCTCGGTGTGGCTGTGGCGGCGGCTCCCCCCGGCCGGGGCTGGGAGGTGGCCGCGGGCAGGTCCCGGCAATGCGGAGCCGTTGGTGCAGAGCTGGCGCGGGGTTAGCGGCGTTTGCCGAATACCCGATAAAAATGTTCGTGTACTGGTGTTCAGTGCAACCGGACACGTTATCTGCATAGCGAGCGGGAGCGAGGGTATCGGGTAGTCCAGCTCTTCCGGCACGGGGCGCTTGTGTGAGGGCAAAGTCTTTAAAAAAGGTGTATTTTCCCCTTTGAAAGGGGGTTACTTACCTCCTGGGGGGAAATCTGCCACTCTGCAGATGCAAAGTGTTACTGTGATGATATCCTGGCACAGCAAAAGGCAGGGGAAGCCCAGCTTTGACCAGGTAGACGGCGATGCAGTTGTAACAAGAAGGGCAACAAAGAGAGACTTCAGGGCCTTGGGATGACTGGTAAGGGATCAGGAGCACAAGAAGTGGCCTCCTCTATCCTGCCAGTTGCAGGGAATGAAGAGGGAAGAAACAGGATCAACACCTGGCTCCGAGCCTGGTGTCACCAGCAGAATCTGCGGTTCTTTGGTCGTGGATTGGTCTACAGGGCAAGGGAAAGAGTCCTTGAGATTTCTGGCATGTGTGGAAGATAACTTCCTGACACCGCTGGTGAGAGAGCCATCTAGGGAAGGCCAGACCTGTTATTTTTGCACAGAGAAGGACCTGCGGGTGATGTGATGGCTGGATGCCACCTTGGGCATATTGATCATGAAATGGTAGAGTTTTTGATTCGTGAAAAAATGATGAGGGGGTCAGCAGAGCTGGTCAGCATTCTCCTGTAGAAACTGGCTGTAGCTTGGTTGGGTGTACAGTTTGCTGGCTAGAAAACTGTCTGGATGGTCAAGCTGAAACAGTGGTGGTGAATGGAGTTAAACCCAGTTGGTGGCTGGTCACAAATGGTGTTCTGTACTTGGGCCAGTTCTGTTTAGTATCTTTATCAATGTTCTGGATGAGGGGATTGAGTGCACTGTCAGTCAGTTTGTAGACAACACCAAGGTGGGTGGGAGTGTTGATCTGCTGGAGGGTAGGAAGGCTCTGCAGAGGGATCTACACAGGCTGGATTGATGGGCTGTGGCCAGTAGTATGAGGTTCAACAAGGCAAAGTGCCAGGTCCTGCATTTGGGCCACAACCCCATGCAGTGCTACATGCTTAGGGAGAGTGGCTGCAAAGCTGCTTGGTGGAAAAGGACCTGGGGGTGCTGATAAGCGGCTGAACATGAACCAGCTTGTGCCCAGGCAGCCAAGAAGGCCAATGGCATCCTGTTTTGTATCAGCAACAGCATGGCCAGCAGGCCCAGAGCAGTGATCATCCCCCTGTACTCAGCACTGGTGAGGCTGCACCTCGAATCCTGTGTTCAGTTTTGGTCCCCTCAGTACAAGAAAGACATTGAGGTGCTGGAGCAGGTCCAGAGAAGGGCAACGGAGCTGGTGAAGGGTCTGGAGCAGATGAGGAACAGCTGAGGGACCTGGGGTGATTTAGTCTGGAGAAGAGAAGGCTCGGGGGGACCTTAATGCTGTCTACAACTACCTGAAAGGATGTTGCTCAAGGTCACTTAAGCAGCCCATGACAGAGATGGAGATAAATTGTACTGTGCGATTCCTGATGTGTGTGATCGTCTTTCCTCTTGCTTTCGTTTCACATTGCTTTCCTGCACATAGCTGTTTACTTTGTTTACAGAATCAGCTGTTTCCTGAATAAGCCAGAGTCACCTGAGACACAAAGATGTTGGAAGAAGATATGGAGGTGGCTATCAAGGTGGTAGTAGTAGGAAATGGAGCTGTTGGGAAGTCCAGCATGATTCAGCGATACTGCAAAGGGATTTTTACAAAAGACTACAAGAAAACTATTGGTGTAGATTTCCTGGAAAGACAAATCCAGTATGTATTAAACAGCTGCTGTGCTATTGATTTTTACCTTTCCCTTTCTTTCTTTGTTCTGTTGCCATCCTGAGATATATGAGGGCTTGGAAGACAAAAAGGCCTGCTGCTTTTGAAACACAGTAAAGGGAGTTGTTTTCTCCTTGCATGTGGGCTAAAATTATATCACTCTGTTTTCTGTCCAAGATTTAGAATTATAACTAAAATTCAGAACCTCTGTTGTACTAAGAGTTTTGACAAGTTTCCTTTGTATTCTACTGCCTGTTAATTTTTTTGGTTTTTTTAATTGTGGAAGAAATAGAGGTGCTTTTGATAAAAGGATAATACAAATTATCTATATTAGTCAATATAGATAAAAGTTACTGTGGAAAAAGAAATATGCTATAGATTTAGTCTGTATGCAATATAAGCAGGCCATTCCCAGTTGTGTTTGATAAAATGGAAAATGAGAAGTAAGAAAATTCTATAAAGCCTATAAGATGATTAAAAAGACAAAAGGGCCATTATTCAAGTACCTAAGTTTTGTTTTGATGTCTAGGAAAGGAAGAGGAATATGTAATACGGATTGTCAGTAAAGAGCTTATAATGTACTTGAGGGACTGCTGCTGTAGTATGTTACAGAGGTGAACCATCATTAATGTTAAATTAAATTATATTTAAATCAAGTTCAGTTTGACTTGGATTATTCTGCCGTTGTAGAAATTGAAATATTTCCATGTTGTTTTGAATAAGTTTTGTTCACTGTATGGATTAAAAAAATGTGCTGTTTATTTCAGAGTTAATGATGAAGATGTCAGGCTGATGTTATGGGACACTGCAGGTCAAGAAGAATTTGATGCAATAACTAAAGCCTACTACAGAGGTGAAAATACCATGTTTGTCATTTGACAGTTTGTTTGAACATCTCTGAAATACTTTCCTATCTTTGTGTTGTGTTAGTTATTCCATGTCTGTGCACAGCATGTTTAGTTTGCCTTTTTTCAATTCTTAAATGTTTTTCCCCTTCATGCAAAATCCTTGTCTTAATTAAATGCCACTTTATGCAGGATGATCAGCAGTGCCCTTTAAAAATCATAGACCAAAATGAGACAAATGCCTCTGCAGAAACTGCACAGAACATAGCCTTTCAAACAGACAAACACAAAGTTATGTTTTCCCTCTGGAAGTGTTTTATTACTTCTGTAAGAAATATTTGTAAATATTCCAAAAGTTGTGGCTGAGGCACTTAGAAATTAATCTAAGGGGAAAAAAAACCACCAGTCATCTTAGAAAGATAGTTTACTAGGCAGGATAGTTCTCTTGTTAGTACAGGCTGCCTTGAACATGTTAACACAACAGAGTGATAAGGAAAGTCTTTACTTCATGAAATAGAAATGGTATTACTCAGTCTTATAAAGGCAGTTCATCTATTTAGCCAGTTTACAAATCACATGCTAGGCTTTCTTTGCATATAACAGTGGTTGTGAAAATCTTGCCTTTTTGGTTTTTAACATGGGAAATATGAACAACTTGGCGAAGATCCCATGATTCAGTTCTTGACAATTACCCAATGGCTAGGAAAAAGACTGAGTTATTTTTACTGTCCCTGTCCATTGCATTCTATGTATACTATATATAGATTGAATAAGGAAGGCTGATGATGTAAGTCACCCCCTTATTAACTACCATATGGTAGAACTTTGCCCTCTGAACTTATTATTGCCCAGTTATCTCCATGTTTTAGAGTTCAGAAAGAATGGGTGGAAGGAGAGAGGTGAAGTCAAAGTCTCTTAGAGTGGAAACTTCACAATAGGTTTCTTAGTCTTAAAAAACTGAACAAGGTGACGTTTACTGATGGTGAGAGTCTTAATAAATATTCTCATTTCTAGTAGAGCAAAGAACTTGGGAAGCTTTATTAAGCTGGTCTGCCAGATGCCAAGTTAAATTAAATTCAGCATCAACAAATACAAACTAACCTGGTTTGGAAAGAATAATTAATTTTATACCTATCTCACAGAATTAGAATAATTGCATACATTAGAATGTGGTGTGGACATTAGGGAAAACACATAGAATTTTAGAACACAAATAATAATGAAAATTATGGAAGACTACATTACTACAATTTTATTGGTAGAACTTGATTTGAAATTGAGGGTAGTTCTTATTCTGTATAAAATCGTACTAGAAGGATCCTAGTAGCATGTGAAGGAATCTGAAAGAGCTTAGGGAGACTTTTGTAAAGATAGACTGAACTTGGTTTTTAAAAGCTAAATAAAAGGAAACCTAATAAAAGAACTTGAGTGCTTTCTGTCACAGAAATACAAAGACAAACAGAATACAGGAATGGGGGATACTTGGTGAAATTCAAGAGATACAAAAAAATTCATGCTGATGAAATAATTTTTCATTCTATGTGTAATTAGTTTGTGATACTCACCACAAGATGACACTGGTCTCAAAGACGTCAGCTATCCATTTCCTTTACATTCTGTTACTAAAGAGCAAATATGCTGAAGGCATATAAACAATAGTGTGTTTGTGTGTTCATATGCAAAGAAAAGTAGTTTCATGAGGATAACAAAGGGCTACTGAGAGTCAAAATCCACTTACTAATCAGCTGTGAAAGTAACTTCTCAGTATTGATGGGTTTAAACTGTTGTTTGTTAAGGCTGATACAAAATCATAACAAAAATGGTATAAAACACTTTCTTTAATTTATCATAGTGCTGTGATTGAACGAGTATGAATTAGAAATACACTTATTTTCTCCAAAAAGTTACGAAAAAGTTTACTTGAAGTAATCACAACTCCCTCTGAGAAAAAAAAATTCTGCTTTTCAACATCAAAATTACTGTAGCACAAAGAATAACTTGCAGTGTGCTTTACCGATCCTGCATGCAGAAAAATACCTGGCCGCCGTTAAGTTGTCTGGAAAACAGTGAACAATAAGCAAACATCTCTTTCCCTTTTTTCCAGCCTTTCCACACCCATCCTACTCCTTCCCCTGCATACATGCAGCATGCTGGAAATAGCTTGAAAGGTAACAGGCCTGTAGCCATCATGAAGGATGGGTATAATGATCAAAATAATATGGCGATCTGTTTTCATTTGGGTAGTATATGACCGTTGCTTTGACACAAGCCACCACTTGTGGTGGTAAAAGTGTACTTTTATGGGAGAAACTTGAAAACCCCTCATATTAGAAATACTTCATAGATAATTTTGTTCATTTTTTGGTTGGTTGATGTGTATTTATTTGTATTTGTACTTGATTTGTATATTTTTAGGAGCCCAGGCTTGTGTTCTTGTGTTTTCTACGACTGACAGAGAGTCCTTCAAAGCAATCCCTGCCTGGAAGGAAAAAGTTGTGACTGAAGTTGGAGACATTCCCACAGTTCTTGTGCAGAATAAGATTGATCTTCTTGATGACTCTTGCATAAAGAAGTAGGAGTTTTATCTTACTGTTTTTAAAGCACAATATATGCCCCTTACATGCATACATTTAAAATATATATATATATATATATATTTATGGGAGTTTGTGATGGAGACTTACGGTTGTCAAATCTATACCCTGCATTGAAACGTGCCCTAGGAGCACAGGTGACAGGTAATGCTGCATGAGTGTAGTTGCTTGGGCAGATGTGCTTGCAAAACTAGGAGCTTTTTGTTTGCTTCATGCCTTCCTCTGAAGTGTCAGCCAGAAAAACAGAGGAATAACACGACGAGTTTGGTTATGCCATGATAAGATTCTTTCTGTCATTTTTCTCTTTTTTTAATCAGAAATTCTAAACCTGTAAATTTTCTCTCCTGTTAAAATTTACAGATACTGTTAAACTCTGTTATGCACCAGTGAAGTTACATTGTCTAATTTGCCTAGTGAATGCTTGCTAAAATGATGATGAAGTATTAAACAGGATGTTTAGAAAAGTAACAATGTTCTTTGCTTCACTTTAATTTGTTTTTATTGCTCATTTTTAATTAAAACATTATAACTCTGTAGAAATCCATACCTGGTATTATTCTCCAACTGCATGGTGCTGTCCCTTCTTCACTGTATTTTTCTTTACAGATGTTACTGTTGATTCATTCTGCCTTTGTATATATGACCAATTTCATTCGTGCCATCAAATCAGCCTAACAAGTGCTAACTTTCATTTACCACAGCATATCATGTAGAAAATATTGCACAATGAAGTCGATCGTTCTCCACTTCTTTGTTTCTGCCATCTTCCTAAGAGATTTAAATTATTTCTTCTTTTTGTTGTTTCCCGCACTGGCTTTCTTTATTCTCTGTTTGCTATCATTGATGACATAAATCAGCTTCTACTCCCTCTGCAAAGAATTCTGAGGATTTTGCAAAGGAAAAGCAAAATTGCATTTGAACTCCTTCTTTATTCATGGTATGTCACTTAGGTTTCATTCTCAGAATACTCCGTCTGCCTCAGTATCACCATCTGTCTGATGACGTGATTTCCCTTGGTGAAATTTTCATAAGTTTCCTCAACTTTTCCTTAAAATTTAGCACTTTTCTTTCACCTCACAAAGTAATCCTTCATTTCACCTCTGCACTCATCTGATGAATCTACTGCTTCATTAAAATATACTTAAGGATTACTCTTTTGGTTGTTTTGACTTTGCAGTAGTAATTTTTCTGATTCTAGTGCTGTTAATTACAGCCTTTTTTCCTTTTGGTTTCACTGACACCTGTCTTTGAATCCTTGGGAAATTTTAGTTAATGAAGTCAATAAGTATTGAAAAGCAATTATTTCTGGTCATAGAGAAACTGCATGTAAAATACCATCTTTTTATAGTGGAAATACTGTAAACAAATTAAGGGACACCTACTTTTTGACTGAGTTTCTCAACCCACCTTGCCATGCTTAACTTGCCAAGAAGCATTTTGTCTGTAAGAATAAATGCTGACAAATAATACAAATTAGTATTTACACAATCTTCTTGTGTTGTGCAGTGAAGAGGCGGAAGCACTGGCAAAAAAGCTGAAGTTAAGGTTCTACCGAGCATCTGTGAAGGAAGACCTAAACGTAACTGAAGGTATGAAGTGCAGCAATGTTTGTCCCGCCTTCTGCTCTGCAGCGGGGAACAGTTCTTTAGTTTGGACCTGCTTTGTTACTTTGCAGGTTGTTGCATGCTGTTGGCCTTTTGATTTCCCTTAGCGGCACACTTTAAACATAGCTGGAATTACTTGGTATCAGTGTTATTAGGCCTGTTTCCTTGTATATATCTTTCTTTTCTCTTCTGCAACCAGTGCACAGCTTTAATATTTAGAAGTGCCAGTGTGTTAAGGCTGCTTTGTCCCTAATGACTGTCATAAAAGCACTGAGCTTCAAAAAAAAAAGTGTAAGTTCAGTTACTACAATATACATATTGTTGAACAGACTATTCTGTAATTGTTATTAACTGATAGAAACACTTAATAGTTTAGTTAAATAAAGTACATTACAAGATTGGCTCTCTTGCAAGTGATATTTGACTAGTTCTTAAGTATCACTTTTAAGTGTATATATTTAATTTCATACTACTACTGTTACAGACTCTGGTCGTTATCTTTGTGGGGTAGGTTTGAATAAATATGAGTCTCTGATAACTTTGTTTGCTTAATCAGGCAGACTTAATAGTAAACTAATTGTTTCTTCTCTGTTAACATTATTTACCTTGGGAGATGAATCTGGAAGAGAAAATATAAAATGTTTCTGTATCTTTGCATGAGTTATTAATTACAAATATAAATAATCATAACGCATATAGGTTCTGAAAATTCTCCTACAGCCTTTGGTTTGGTTGGATGGAGATTTTTTTTCCCAGAATCCTAGGTAGACTTTTTATACCCCAATACAAACTAGGGTAGCATTACTTAATTAGAGCAATATTGCTGCCAAGTTTTATTAATAGACTTAACCTTACATGACCGCTATTATTCTAAGACTTCTTACAAAAAATAAGTATGTTAAATTCCTGTATAACTTTAAAAAGTTCCAGGTGGTATGAATTTGCACATTTGGCAAAATGTTATTTGCCAGCTTCATTATAGAAGTATTGAGATGTTTCTATGTGCTGTGCCAGAGCAGTACTGCAGGGTGTAAGACCTGGGTAGACTCTTGGATTAACCTGGATTCTGCTTAGGTACTCAGGCATGCTGAGAGACCATCACTTAACAGATCATGCTAAACCTGTCACCACACAGAATTTTGATACAGAGACATTAGTATTGATATGATTATATTTAAGCATACCTTTTTTTTTATTATTACATTCCAGTTTTTAAGTACTTAGCTGATAAATATCTTCAAAGGCTCAAGCAACAGACAGCCGAAGATACGGAACTAGTACATACAAGCAGTAACAAGATTGGTATGTATACTGTTACAAAAAAAACCAGAATCATTATTTTGTGCCATCACAGCTTATGGTTTTACCTGTTTCCTTATGGAGTTAATACAAGGTGAATCAGAGTCTGTTATTTTCCTATCTTAGGATACTGTCTTCTTTCCTTCTGTAAAATAACTTTATGACTCTAAAGTTACGCAACTGTTAAACTGATACTCTAAAGTCTTTAGCAAACATTTGGCAAGCGCCCTTTTATTAATTTTTTTTAAACAAAGATTGTGTAAGGACTTGAGAAGGGGTGCTTGCTGGATTTTTTAATTTAATTAGTATCAGTGTTACTCATCTTCGTGTGGATTTACACGGTGAAAGAATCTGGCATGTAATCAGAAGGTGTGTAAACTGCCTTTTCTAAGGGAATACCAAACTTCCATAGTCCTTCTTTAAAGCATTTCTGAGTTAGTTCCTTTATGTTCCTTTTTAAAACACCCCCCTTTTTATTCAAGCTTTTTCCTTACCTTTATCTCAGCAAAGTTTCCAACTTTAAAATTGTCATGTTTTTCTTTTATTACATTACTCAACTAACCATAACTTTGTTACCATGCTATTAGTAGAATACACATGTGCAGATGAATGCATATGCTGCCCTTCAATTATATAGATGGAAACCTGCTTTAAATACTGCCTGGCTAGTAATTCCAACTGGCTCTCCTTCAAGTTTAGCTGCAAAATTGACTCAGAAGTAGGAAAAGCCGTTAAAAAACTAGAGTGGGTTTGAGGTGCCTTACTATGCAGTAGTAAAGAGTTGTGTCTGAAGTGTTAATATGTTGTGCAACAAGAAGTAAAGAAATACAAATACTTTTCTTGTCTTTAAATTCTGTAGGTGTTTTTAACACAGGTGGTGGAAGTGACTCCAACCAGAATTCTAGCACTCTTAATGGAGGAGATGTCATCAACCTGAAACCAAACAAACAGAGGACCAAGAAAAACAGAAGTCCTTTCAGCAACTGCAGCATACTTTAGACCACTTTGGGAGGAAAAAAAAAACAAGCCAGTGAATTGGATGAAGTTGTGCAATTGAATACAGAATAAAGCCAGCTGTAGAGGTATTTTTACCAGTGCTTTAGCAAATCTTGTGCCTATGGGATCCTTGAGAGAGGGTGGATTTATATAACCTTGCTGATGCAGTTGTTTTCAGTGTTCGGAGTGAGACACCTGGTGGCAAAACACAGAACCGCGGCTGCCCGTGCACTTCGTATAAATTAGGCAAGCTTCTTTTTCAAGGAATTATTTCCAGAACTATGAATTAGGTATTGCTGAATTGCAAAGCACATTTAGCACAAGGATAATACTTACAAGTATAGGTACAGACCGTTTGTCGTGGTTTAAAGCCAGCCAGCAGCCAAGTACCACGTAGCCACTTGCTCACTGCCACATCCTTCCCTCCTTCCCAGGTGGGATGGGGAGGAGAATCAAAAGACTGTAAACCCCAGGGGTTGAGATAAGAACAGTGTAATAACTAAAGTACAAAATTACAGATAATAGAAATAACACCAACAGTAACAATACTGATAATAGTAGGGAACAAAAAAAAAAAAGATAACTGAGGATTCAGAAAACCCAAGTGATGCACAATACAACCACTCACCACCCACTGACTGATATCCAGCCTGACCTGAGCAGTGATGTTGGCCTTCTGGCTGACTCCCCCCAGCTTATGTACTGGGCATGATGTGCTGTGGTATGGAATACCCCTTTGGCTAGTTTGGGTCAGGTGTCCTGTCTCTGCTCCTTTCTGGCTTCTTGTGCCCCTCCTCACTGGCAGAGCATGAGACTGAAAAGGCCTTGACCGGGGTAAGCGCTGCTGAGCAACAACTAAAATACCAGTGTGTTACCAGCACTGTTCTCAGACTAAAGCCAAAACACAGCACTGCACCAGTTACTGGGAAGAAAAGTAACTCTACCCCAGCTGAAACCAGGACATCGTAACACTATGGCCAAAGGTAAAGTAGCAACCTTGCAGCTAAATTTCAAACAAACATTAGAGTTGGTTAGACAGGACACTAAGAAGATATATGAAGATCAAAAAGAAGACGCTATATTTTATGCCTGACTATATTATAAAGATTCTGGCAGTTCTGTTGGTGCAATATATTTGTGTTATATATGATTGGTGAGGTATATGTAAACATCTGGTGTGAATATTTAGGCTAAATTCCAGTGTATTTGTTACTTGGGAGATCAGCCAGTGAGCATAAAATAGCATCTTCCAAAAAAAGTTCCCTTTCAAAATGTTGCATTTCAGATGAGGCTTTCCCAGCCACCACTGTGTATATTTAACTTGCTCTACTTTGGGCCTAAAAGCTTAGATTTAAAAATGTATGGTGCCAAAAATGCTCCTTTTTACTTAATGCAGTGCTACAGATGTTTTTATAATTTTGTTTTTCTCTGTCTTAACCAGTTGAACAAGTAACAGGGTCTTTGACACTAATAGATATTCAGAAGAAACATATAATCATATTTCTCTTCAAATTCGGTTGTTGTATCCTGTGTTGTCTATGAAAAAGGAACTTGCAACATTGTGTCACAAGCCAGTTATCTTGCCTGGAAAATTGTTTCATAGATATCATAAACTAAGTCGTGGAGGATCCAAAAACCTTGCAGCTGGGTGACTGAATTACATTTGTGAGACATTCTTGAATGTCATCTCACGTTCAAAGTTAGCTGCTGGCTACACAAAATCTGATTCTGCAGGATCAGAGACATGGCAAAAATTGTTCAAAGTGCTTAAATAACACTACAGAATTGATTTAGATGTTTAGGAGTCCAAATCTAAATTCAAATAATACGGGCTTAGGCTCCTAAATCACCATGGTGCTGTTAAAAATGCTAAGCAAGGTATCTTTTATTGACCAAAAATAAACACTTTCTAATCTTCTCCAAGAGCACGCATGCCTTGTGAAAAGTATCCTTTTTGTTTACATGGTTTTGTATGGTATAGTTTTAACTTTCTAGGATTTCTACAGCAAACCTGCCAGTGACAAATGCAAAATATGCTGCTTGAAGGAATTCAGAGTTTTAATAGTTTTGTAAGTGGTGTATGAGAGTGAAAATGGGTTGAGTGATCTATTTTTGGAGGAAGGACTTTTCACTGTGTGAATTCATGTAGAAAGCTTGACTTACTTTGTTACTAAGTCAATGAGTGTGAAAACTGAAATGTGCTTTTTCCCACTGCCTGCAGGGAGAGAAGTGGTTGGTGGATTATGCACAAACAACAGAGATCTCTGAAATCTGTATTTAACATTTACTTATGTTAGACTTTCTACCGAGTACTGTTGTTTCTTTGACCAGCTGTTAGAGCATCTCCTGTTGCTGGCACTAAGGTGGCCTCCAAGGCACTTGATCCCCTTCGCTAGTGCAGCAAACTGTGTGTACTTCACTGTAATGTTTCCTATAATTTCTCCTGATAAAGGCCTTTGTTTTTTTAACAAGTGTGTTTAATCCCTGTATGTATGTATACATGGTGGAGTCTATTGGTCTTCTCAATTTCAGAAGCAAGGTACTTAGCATAAGACTTACGATTGTACATCATTGGGCCACCTTACAACTTCAGGGTGTAGCACAGAGTGTATGCGTGAAGAATTTCGACAACTGTTTTTAATGTGGAAACTTTCACATTTTGTTGTCTGTCTGCCACTTCCACCTTTTTTAATTCATTTTTCTTGAAACAAGCCACAGTGTGTCTGAAACATCCTTTTTGCCGTGTTTGACTTTGTACAGAGGACTGAAAAATAAGTCTGTATGACACGTAATGACCATTTGTACTATTACGTGTTATACTGTAGATATCATATTATTACATAAGCCATTTGTATTTAAGGTGTGTCATTATAAACCACTTTTTTAAGGACTGAAAACGAGTAGAAATGTTTATAGGTGGAGACTTGACCGACTTGCAAAATTTAGGGTATGTTGAAATTCAGAACACACATTATAACATAGGAATACAGACTTGCAGCATTGAGTAACAGTGAGCTTTCATTTCTTTCCATTCCATTCCCATCTTAAGTCTTTGTTGTGACTGTGCATTGATTGTTCTCCAATGAGAATGACTGAGGTGGAGACTGTCCCATTAGCATTTTTCTGGGGCGTGTTCTGCATGTGCTTTGCTTGAAAATATTGTTTTATCCTACTGGGGTTAATGTGGAGGTGGAAACCAGATGACTTCTGCATTGCAGGAATCTTTAGGTATTCACCTCACTCCTCAGTGGGAGGGACTTTCTTTAGCCTTTTGGATGCAAAGGCACGCCTAGACATTTAGCACCCATGTCAATTTTTATTGCAAACACTGGCTTCTCCGCTCAAAGCATTTCATTAAAATACCAGATGTTTCAGTAACTGTTAAAGCCTTGGTGAAGTAAGCATGACACCAAAGCCCCTGTTGTTTCTGTGTTGTATCTATTCCGTGAATGGCTGTTCTGTCAGGAAGTGGAGCATCACTTCCTGATGATGCAAAGCCGTAATGCTAGGGATGTGTTTCCAACTGGAAATAAGGAATCTCAGAGTTGTAAGACTGATCACACTAGGATTTTTGTGCATGGGCGCATGTGTGGTTAATTTAGAAAATGAAATATTCCACTTCAGACAATTTTGGAGAAATGCTTACCTTTTTTAGTCAGAATGCCTGAATTACCATACTGTCAGTTGATTTCCTGTTTAATTTTTTTATGATTCAGTAAATTGTGTCATCTTTTTTTTTTCTTTCCCCTCCATTACTGGGCTACACAATGTATCCAACACATAGCTTTCCCTTTGCGCCACTTCTGCAGTTCTATGTTATACTAAAGGGAACTGAGCAGCTGACCACGTTGTGCTCCCTGTAGTTACACAGGGGTACCTGCACAATACGGAGCATACATGCACTTTGAACCTCTTAATTCATCTTCTTCAAGTTGGTAGCTACCAGTTAATAACTGAATGAATGATTTGCGCTGCAGAACCCTCTGTGGGAATTCGGTCATAGAGCAAACTAACAAACATGCTGCTTGGATTCCAGTGGCAGTACTTAGACCCCTGCTGCTTCTCTAAATGTAATCATAGACCTCTGGTTGAAGCTGCAATACCTGCACACTAATAGTGCATAAACCAGAGAGCAACAAGCTTGGTTTCATCAAAACGACCTTACCATCTTCCTGTAGGAAGCAACAGTTGTGCCTATCTTCTTTTTAATGCTCAGACAGTATTGAGAGAAGAAAATACTTCTGTGTGAAATAAGGCATTCAAACAGGTAATGAAAATTAGAGAAGAAAAAATGCAGCAATGCTTAGATGTAAGGTGAAAGGTGCTGTAATAGAATTAAGAGAAACTTTCAAACACTTCTGTGTCACAGAAGTGCTGTATCAATCATTTCAAGGCCAGGTGAGTCCCACTACTGAACTCATTCTCAGGTTTCTGGTAGTAGGGTAATACTGATAAATAATTTGTGGATGAGTGTTCTTCCTTCTCTTCCTGAGATAAATGTGGTTCAGCAGAACCGAATAAAATTGGTCAGAAAAACCTGAATCTGGACCAGGAGAATTCTGCTGTCAGTGCAAGAGTGAAGGTGCATTGTTACTAATGAATGACTTACTCTTGTTTGCAAGTTCACATGAATCAGAATGGTCAAAACACAATGTTCAGAACTGGTTTTATCACTGTCATGATCTCAAATATATGTAATGACTTTTTTTTTCTAAAAATATAACATAACTTACCATACATCCTCAAGTGGAAAATAAATGTTTAAACCTGAATATTTTGTGTGTGCTGGTCTTGTAAAATCCCCAGAGGTAATTCTCTTGTTACAAGTTACATTAGTTTTATCATGCAACTTAACTTAAACATGTTTATTTCATCGCTATTTGGTCTGATACAGGTCTTTCTTTTGTGGTCACATTCAATTGTCAGCCTATTTCATAAAATTGCTCTAACCCTGTACCTATGCAGCCTGAATCTGCTCAGAAAACTTGTGTGCCCAATCCTGGTCCATATGTTGGGAGCAGTTGGGATCCAGAGCAGCACATTAGGCACCCCCACCTAGCAGAAGGGCCATTTTTGAGCCCTTCACCACACAGTTCAAATATGAAATACGGGTTTCTGTTCTGTGCTTTCTGGTCACTTTGTTTTCCACGCTTGGTCTGGCTAATGCAGCGACAAGTGAATGGTTGTAGACGTTGTAAGTGGCATTAAAATATTACTCATGTATCAAAGGTGCCTGATGAGGTTTCTGAAAAGAAACAGGTAAACGCTTACTGGTGCCTGGGGCTTTGTGTGGTTCTGTGTTCTTTTTTTAGTAAAATGGAACTAAGTATGAGTCTGCCTCTTCGTCTGGGTGTCTTGGGAATCTGGGAAGCAATATACTTCTGGTTCCTCTTGCATGCGGTTTTTCACACAGGAGAACAAGTTACTTGCTTAACACCCTAGTAAGGATTAATTGGAATGTTTTAGGCAAGAAAGAGTCTGGAAATACGAGAAAACTCACATTTTCATGGTCATGTAGTTTTAAGTCAGGGAAGTGCTTAACTACAACTGAGTGAAGACCTTGAGAAAAGTGAAGCTTTGATGCTATCTGGGTATGTTTTATGTACTGCGCAGCTGTACCATGTTCAGCTGGGGGAAGCTGGGCAGCCCCCACTAGAGTTCTAAAGAGGAAAACAAGTGTCTTTTCCTGTGTCTTACAGGCATTAACTGTGTGAAAGAAACTTTAAGGACAGTGTCACTTGTTTTAAACTTAGGCTGTTCAAATCTATGGGATCTTTTACTGGATGCGGCATGTCAACTTGCAGGCCTAAAGCACAGGAGAGGGTAGCAGTGGCTGTACTGTAGACTTCCTGGGGGTCAGGTAATATGGGGTTTAGGGAAGTGGAAGGCAAACAGACAAAAAGAATAGTAAAAATAAGGAAGTAACTTACTTAGGTTAAGTCTAACCTGCAGTATTACCTTACCCCTAGATCATAGAGGTTGTGATCATTTTGTCCTTGAGAACAAAAACACTTGTACAAGAGCTATTAAAAACAGGAAGAGGATCTAAAAAGGAAAACAAAAATCCCTTAATGCTTTTGGCCTGAATAATCTTACAGTGGCCTTAAAGCCCTCCGATATCAAAGGAATATTCTAAGCATCACTAAGCTATGTTCGACATAACTACTTCACAGCGCAGTTTCCAAGAACAGTCTCTGCTGTGTATTATTTTCAAGGCGTTTAATGCTGTTAAACAACTGGAAAATTTACTTTGCTTGTTAAAGTTCACAAGGAGCTAAACCACATGAATATAAGCAGTGATTCTTTAAAGTGGAATTATGAAATTAATCTCACCGAATTCATGGAGACTTTTTCCAATCTCAAAGCTGTGACTTGCTCTTTGAAAGCATCATCTGAAGTGCCGTTTCTGCAAATAGAACGCAGTGTCAGTGCCCTCACAGCTCCTGGGGTTCCCAAGAAGTGTGGGTCAGGTTCCTGGAACCACAGCGTGCTTCTACACATATGAGGGCTTTACAGCCCTGGCACCTCCCATCCTACACAAGGAATGAATATGGTATCTGCCACCTGAGAATTCAACTTTTCTGCTCTGCAGCTTCACAGGTGATGATGCAAAATGAATGTGCAGAATAGTAGCTGATAAAACACAATTCCCTTTATGTTAAAATTACAAAGCAACCTTGAACTACAGGTGGTGGGAGGCCACCAGCCTCTCTGGGCAGGATGTGTAAGGGTGGATTGCAAGAGCTGGCGCTCATTTCTAGCCTTGGTTGTGACATTTGAGTGGATGCATTGCTTTTCACTTCCTCAGTTACAAATGGGAGGTATGAGTCTGTCTCTTGGAAGTACTCTGATCTACTTATGAACAGTGTACAATCACTCAAACTGTATGTGGTAATGAGCAGGACAGTGTGGTTTATGAAAATACCATCAAGAGTTTATTAATGGTTTTGGATTTATTGCCACAATTTGTCCCCAAAAGTCTGGTTCGCACACTATGTATACAGCAGAGAAAAGCTGAAATCTCATGATAGGACAAACCAACTTTAGCTTAAAAAAAACCAACCCAGGAGAATGGAGGACAGATTTTGGCAGTTCCTGACAGTTCAGCAGAAGCACTATTACAACTTGCAGCAGAGCAGGATCGACTCTAGAGGAGCATTCTTTATTGCCAAAAGAAAATGCTGATGCTACCAAAACCCATTAAATGCTCGCAACTTGCAATCAAAGATACTTTGGTGCTGTGCATGCGTACATACGTGCATGCTTGCACAGAGATCTGTTTTTCCTTAGCTGCTTTGTGCTTTTTATGGAGATTTGCTTATCCTGCGGTTTGCCAGAACTAGCCCAGAGGACGGTTTAATCCTGTTTGCTGTTGCAAGACTGTCGAACAGATGATTTCTGATGCTCCAACAATGTGATGGACTTTTCCGAGTTTTCCAAGTTTCTAAGCAGAGTCTCTAGCCGCCTTTTGATCTTCTTCTGATCCTCAATGGCACACCCAATCACCACAGACTGAAACTTCTGATCAATGGGTCCCGCTGGCACATCAGATGTGCATGCACCGTAAAGCGACATTAAGCGGATTTTGGCATCTTCCAGATCATCTAGAAGTTTATTGACGATTTCATCGATCATCTTGGTGGCATGCAGGAGGGATTCCTGCTGCTGGGCGTTCCGGATGGTTTCCACAGAAACCTCCACTGTGAGGGTTCGGCCCATCAGGCGATTAGCTGTCAAATTAAGCTCTTCCCTCTCACCTACATCAAAACCAAGAATACATTCTACATTACAGGGGAATACTTTCCTGTGCAAACAACATCATAGAATCATAGAACAGTTAGGGTTGGAAAGGACCTTAAGCTCATATAATTCCAACTCCCCTGCCATGGTCAGGGACACCTCACCCTAAACCAGGTTGCTCAAGGCTCTTGTCCAACCTGACCTTGAACACCGCCAGGGATGGGGCACCCACAACTTCCTTGGGCAGCCTGTTCCAGTGCCTTACCACCCTCGCAGTAAAGAACTTCTTCCTTATATCTAACCTAAATCTCTCCTGTTTAAGCCTTCTCCCCTCAAGACAACCAAAGTGCTACAACTTGGCAATAAGCAAGGCTGTTTTTTTAAGTGGCAATCAACAAGATTTCCAGGGGACAGAAATGAGTTTTCTGCCTTTGCCCGAGTCCTGCTTATTTCACAGAAGCATCTTCTGATTTGAAATGATGCATTAAGCTCTCCTAAGAATGTAAGCAATGATTTTCTGCTGCCAACACACCACTTCCTGTGTCATGTTAAAGCAAAGCATACAGTATTATCAGAAAACATTATTCATTAACCAAACTGGCATGTTTGCCAGTTTGTGTTAACTGTGCCACTGTGAGGGAGAGATTTAGGCAGTACCCCAGAAGGCCATAAAGAGAAAACTGATTTCTGACTACCAGCTGCAATTAAGGGCCAGGAAAAAAATGGGTTTCTATTATCTGAAAACAATTTTTCCCCAAACCATGGACACAGCATATTTGATATGTAAGCTCCTGAAAAGCCAATGAACCAGCAATTTGAAGCACCTGATATAAAACATACATTTAGGGAACGTATTTAATGCCATATATCACACAACCATGATAATGATCCTAATCATCAGGTTCCTGCAGGCTGTACACTGTGTAGCACTCCTGTGCAGAACTCAAAGCCATTAAAATGCTGGGTTTTCATCTGTATTTAAGCATCATTATTATCGTCAACTTCCCTCCCTTAGCTAAGCTGTATTACCCTCATTTTGAAAATAAGCCAGTTGAAGAGAGTATGGGCTGTCGTCCTGGTTTCAGCTTAAACCACAACACACATATACACCATAGCATCGTTCATGGCAGACCATCTGGCTGAACAGTATCTGAAGTTACAAAGTCAAGGAAAAGGGGATCCCAGGATACGGGAATCATGAGCTGGCTCCAGGGCCTGTACCTTCACCAGCAGCACCCACCAAGCAGAGCTGCTCCCTAAGGCACGGGCTGTCTGACTTCAAGTCAGTTGGGAGGGTATGGCAAAGCAGCTGCTTACCTTCGCTGATGTGCCTCATGTCCTGGCTGTTCTGTATGTTGTGGATCATTTCTAGCAGGGTTTCTTTCTCTTGTTCCATAGCAGATGCTGCGTCACGGAAAGCCTCTACCCTGAGCACGGTTAAACCAAACAAAATGTTTAAATAATAAAATAGCTGTTCACCTCTATAGCTGCCAAGAACAGTTTTTTTAAGCTTCAGCTTAAGAAGTACAGTCAGTTCTTAATTATCCATGAGATAGCCTCTCCGATTTCATGGCCATTGCCTGTATCTTACCTTCACTTTTCAAGACTCAATAGAATTTGTAAAAACCCAAACCAAGAATAATTCGGTAAGACTTACATCTTCTGTTTTACTGACAGTGCTGTTCTGTCCTACTCCATGGTTAGTCTGGATATCCAGAGCCTGATGGTACTATAGCCCCATAAAAGAAGTCTTGTAGGTAACTGGCAACTATTATCAGCTGCTGAACTAGAAGAGAAACAGACCAAGTCCCCATCACACATGATGCAGTGAGGGCGAAGGGAAAGCCCAACAGGAACTGCTCTCCCTGACAACTTTGGTCTTGGGAAGCTATGTGGTTGAATGCCCCCAGTCTGCCCTCCTCCTCCTCATAGCATAAGGTACAGGCCCATCTGGCCATGGGCAGTGTGAAAATGCTATACGTGAAATGTGAGGGCAAGTCTTTAGTTCTTGCCTTACTCCCCACCATGATTTTAAGGAGGGGATTTTGCATTCAGCCAAGTAATATGGAAAAGCACACTTGGCAACTATCTACTTTGGACGCCAAGGACAAGATGGAAACGTTTCCCTCCGTTGGCTTTGCCCCAGAGGCCTGAGGGCAGGGGCTCACAGAGGGCTTGTCAAGCTGCAACTGGCTGCAAGAGTTGTGCCAAAACCATCAACTCTGCACTCCCAGACCCCGCAGAAAAGCAGCGTATCATGTGAACCTGGCTGAGAGTTTCAGATGCTTCCAGCACACAGCCTGGGAGGTCTAGCTGCTGTAAGCAGCACAGGAATCCATCTGTCCTGAAATGTTTATTAAACCTGTCCAGAAACAGGGAAACAAAGCATCGGTAAGTCTCTTAGATGCTCTGTGCTCTTCAACATGAGCCTGCCCTGAAATGGTGGTGGCTCATTGCTGCTTCTGCTCCTGCGACAGGTACAGAGCTGCTGCTCCTCCCTCCCTTCCTCAGAGGCTGGCTGAGGGCAGGTAACTTCAGAGAACAGCAGTAAGAGAAAAGAGGGCGAAAGAACGCTGAAGAATGGGAGCATCTGAGGATATAAATAGTCACACTTCACATGCAGCCTGCTCACAAAATGGTACTGTTTTACAAAATATTTAGCCTAATTTAGTCAGTGAAAGCACAAGCTTCAGGCCTTGCCTTTAATGTTCATTCTGAGGAGGAGTGGGAAAAAGTTAATGCAATGCAAATGCTTGCCGAGAGCAAATGCTTTTAATTATTACTTTGGAGTTAGTAAGAGCAATGAGGCAGGTGGAGTCATTCCATGTCTCAGATGTCTGCACTTTGTAATTTATCAAGTCTAGCAATATTTTCATAAATGCCTCACTGTGTCTTTTTAAAAAAACCTAGTGTTTTCAGTTTTATAAATGCATTGTGGCCACTGGGGAGCTTAAAAATTGCAATAGTGTTATTAAAGCAGATTCAGTATATTATTGTACTGCCTTAAAAACTAAAGGTCTGCCTTCAGCACATGAATCAATCCCTGATTTCCACAGGCTTTGCTGGCTACTATGAAGAATGCAAAAGAACTGCATTGCAGAGATGCATCCTGAATTGGTGCAATTCTAGAGAGTGCCTACAAGATCATCACTGCTTCCAAAAGCCAGCTACTGCTATGTGAGGTAGGACTGAAAAGCCAAATTATCAGAATTCATGACTGTGTACTGAAAAAGCCCCACCATAATTTACCCACTGGAACTTTGACTGACATTATTTTACAGAAAGTTGTGTAATGTAATCTTGAGAACTATTTTATTTGCAGTAATTGCTACTTGGGAATTATCTTAACCACTTCTTCAACTGCAATGTAACTAAAGTCCACCGGGATTCTGATCTTGGTGTATTTGCTTCCACAAACAGCAGTCAAAATGAGCACCTACCCGGCACTGTGTAATGGCAAGTGGAGGAGGCACCGCAGCTCCAGCCATGGGGGCAAAGGGACAGAAAAGCAGCATGACAGGACTCCCCTCTGCTCTCCCTTCTAAAAGTTTCCATCTTGACCAATTATTAGCATCATGATGGGACTAAATAGCCTTAAAAATAAATTCTTTGGGTTTCAGAGAGCTCTTGAAGGCAGAGTGGAGGCACAGCATGGTAACATAGTGTATTGGCAGCAAACACAGCACCTCAACAGCCAGCCAGCAGGAGCTGCAGCTTGAACAGAAGATAGGAGGAGATGGTTTGAGAAAGACAAGGCAAGGGAGCAGAGGAAACGGGCAGCTGGCACTGCTAGGGACCTGGGTCGCAAAACAACCAGATAGGATCACTTCAGAACAGCGCTCTAGGGGGAAGAAAACAAAGAACAAAGAAACCACTCATGCCAGCCTCAGGAAAATGGTCAGTGCCCCAGAGAGATGCTGGGGGCTCTGTCTAGGTGAGATGCCCACCACATCCCTACTCTATTTCGCTGCCCTGTCTTGTAGCAAGGCCTCTGGACAAGGGTCCCACTGGCCTCTCCTCAGGCCACAGCTGGGAGAGACACCAGTCTACAGGGACTGCACACCTTTCCCTCCTCTGCCCCTGCCAAGAGTGCCAGGTCCACACTTTGTAGCCTCTTTCCTACCTTCTTCCCTAAAATGTGCTTTAGCTTCATAGGTCTGTGTGAATCTTTACTTTCCTGGGGTGGGGAAAAAAGAACAAAGATTGGAAGAGAGAATACAGTTTCCACCCATATTCCTCTGCTGTGGAACAGAGTGGAAACACAATCCAAGTCTCAAAAAAACAACCAGCCACAGAATAGAAGGCAAAAAGAACACAGAACACTCATATTCCTGCCCAATTATCACTTATCTTGATGCAGCAACATGGTCTTTTTCTAACAAACAGATGAAAACATCCAGCTGTATTTTTACTTGGAGTATGTTTGCCACTTTGAACATCAACTAAATATTCCACCCATTACCTAACACTAGAAAAACATTCCTGACTTCTGGTTTCGCGTGGTCAGAGCGTGATGAGCTGCGTAGTGCCTTTCTTTCCCACATGCCATTCCCATGAGTAGAACATTCCCCGGAGGAACAGGTGGACCGGCCGTGCTTTGTATCCAGATGAGAAACTGGACACCTGCTTTCTTATGACAGCTGCAATAACTCTGTCCTTTACACAACTCCTGGCTTAAACAGCTCTCTGTTAAGCTGGAGGTGCGAAGAAGTGTTCAAAGGCAGAAAGAAACATCTGAGGATGGTGTGGCCTTCTGCCTGACACAGAGCTGTGCGCAGTGACAACACGGGGGGGTTTGCCTTGACATCCTCAGCTTCTTAGACTGAGCTTCTGCACTCAGGTGAGCGGAGACATACACGTGAATGGTGGGGGAATGTGGTTGTTCCAAGGGAGAACAGGAGAGAAAGCACAAAAAAAATAAGGTTTTAGGAAAGAAAACAAGCAAAAGTCTGACTTATCTCATGTACCATTACGCCCTGGACTGCGTGTTCACTGAGCCACCAGAACACAGTGACTCATAGACACAGACTCGTCCCGCTTCCAGCTGCTCCTGAGATGTCTTGGCATTCATGGACAGTCAGGGCAACAGGAAGATCCAAGCCCTTACAAGGGACAAATGTGCCACCTGCCCCTCTGGTGATGAGCTCACTCCCTGGCAGCCAAATTAGTCCCCCTTTCCCATTCACTCTCCTTAGAGAAAAGGTCCCTCTGTAAACAGCGGGCAGGGAGGTATAAAAATACTCTGGTACTGTCAGAAAAGCAGCTCTTGGGGTGGAAGGGAAGGGAGAGAAGTGAAGGCTGTTCAAATCAGTGCATTTCCAAAGGGATGAGGGCTGCCTCGGGGATCAGCCAACCTTAAACAACTCAAGAACTGAGGATTGTCAAGGGGTTTAATTAAAGGCTGTTATTCACTTCGACAAATTTTCACTTATATTTACAATCAATATCTCAAGGGTCTATAGCTAAACTAAACTGGCTGGTGAACGAAGTGGAAGCTTTTCCTCCTGCCATTCAAATAACTTTGAAACGAGGCATGCTGGCTACTTGGGCATGGAAAAAAAATACAAGAATTCAGTGACTTTAATCAAAGTAGTTTGACTCTTCCTTTGTAAACTGTTCCTTGTTTAGAACTATGCCTGTCTGAAAGACACACAGCAAACTGGGAGGTGTAATTTGGGGTGTCATTTCTGGTTAACCAAACCGTCTGCTTTGGTTCAAAGACGCTCAGCAAATGAGAAACACATCTTTGCATATCCTGCTACTTATTTTGCATTTACATATTCATGCGCCAGACCTGGATGTGAGCAGCAAGACTTGTTTGCAGACAGTGATTTGGTTTAGTCAAATTCAGAGAAGTCTGTGAGGGACTTCAAGAAGATTCAGTCGAGCCAAGGAAAGATAATATAATAGCACATAAAGTCCACTCCCGATTATTGCAAAGCAATGCGGGCAGAAAGGGGAGAACGCAACTCCCGTGTCCCACAGGGCTCTCTTAATTACAGAAAAGTCTTAGAAACACGGTGGGTGGTTCTGCGAGAGCCGCTGATCAATATGCAGCTGTAATGAAGGAAAGGGCGTGTTGAAACAGTCCTGGCAGGAGGTGAATCAGTGGTACACCCACAGCGCCCGTGCATCCAGCCACCTCGGGACAGACACCGTGTAATTAGGCAGAGCTGAGAGGATGAGGGAGATGATTAAAGACAAGGAATCGCCTCTCAACGCTGCCGAGCTGGGGAAAAATCAAATGGGACTATTTGGCAAGTATCAGGAGGAGACCAGACGCGCCTTGGCGCAGCGAGTACACACTGTATTCGCAGCTACTTCAGAAACAGGGACCTAAGCTGCAGGATGCGATGCTACTCATGTTAGAGTTACATGGGTTACTGTAACCTCAGAGAGGAGGTGGACGTAAGCACGTGTGACAAGAACACCAGCGAGCGCAAAGGGAGGCTGGGGGGACATGAAGCCTCACACATCACCACCACAGTCAGCGCTGCAGATGAAAGGCTTGCAAGAGCCTCAGAGAGCCCAAACGACAGCGAGTTTTACCCTCGTATTTCCTGCATCTCCTTGTGAAACACCTGCCGGACAGGTGCGGGACAGGGGCCACTGGGCTGCGGAGCGCGATGAAGGACACGGCTTCCGTCGGCTCACTGCTGCCCCGCACCGCACCCAACCCGCCATCCCCCGTGTGCTGAGGGCTCCCCGAGCCCTAAAGCGTAACGAATCAAAACCCCCTTTTGCGCTTCCCCCGGTAAACGTCTGTTCCCATACACCCACACATGCCCCTATCTCTCGCGTTTCCAGGACACGCCACCTCACCTCAGCGTAGCAGCTGCCATTTTAAGCCTGCCCCCACTGCCTCCGGTGCGGGGGATCCTGTTCCTAGGTCACCTCAGGAAGCCTCACCCAGCCCGTCCCCCTCCCACCGGGGAAGGCCCCGCGCCCGCCGTGAGGAGCGGAGCCGCCGGCTCCCTGCCGCCGCCAGGGCCCCCACCTGAGCTCCAGCTGGTCCAGGTTCTCCAGCAGGCGGCTGGATCGGTCCGCCATGGATGTGGAGCGGTAGAAGCGGCCTCGGAGCTGCCCGCCGGACTGCTGCTGCTGCTGCTGCTGCTGCGCCCCCTCGTTGGCCTTGGCGCTGATCTTGGCCTGGGCCATAGCACCCGCCTGCTGCCGCCGGCGGATCCGCGCTGCGGCCGCTCCCTCCCCGCGTCCCGCAGGCGGCGGCCGAATGCCGGCACCTCGCTCATGGCCAAAGAAGGAGCCCGCCCCGCCGCCTGCCCCCGCGGCCACCCCGCCTCCGCGGCGGGCTGTGGCCCCGCGGGCACCGCCTCACCTAGCGCGGCGGGGCGCCTCATGGACAGCCCCGGTCCGGGGTGTCGTGGCCGGAGCTGCCGGCCGCAGAGCCGCTGGCGCTGGCCGGTGGGATCATCAGGGAGCGGGGCTCCGGTGGGTCACACACGGGGGTTAAACTCGCGGGAGGGACAAGTGATCCCTGTTTGCTGCTCGCACCCCGGTGGCACCGCATCCCATCCCGAGCGGTGCCCGGCCACCCCCGCGCACCCAGGCTGACCCACGGCAGCACCCTGCAGCTTCCTGGGGTGCAGAGACCCCAAAACTGCCCCACTTATGTCCCCAGTCCCCAGCGTGACAACAACAGCAAAACCCAGCCCAGCTCAAAGCAACAAACTGCCTCTTGCTAAACCAGAAGCTAAGAGAGGAACAGTGAGATTTTCAGTAACAGTATTAACCTTGTTTGAGATGGTAGCTGTTAGTATGAGGATTTGCCTCTCAGAACATCGGTCATTAAAGGAAACAAAGCCCACCACCACCCAAATCTTACATGTAAAGCTATTCAAAAAGTGAGCTACAAAGCTGAAAACTCAAGAAATGGGTGAAAGAAAACAGTGCTTTAAAAATCCAGAAGTCTGTTGGAAGGGAGAGGAACGCTGGAGAAAAGTAAAGCAGAGACAGTCCTTGCTGAAGGCAGAACCTGAACAGTGTTCCTAAAAACAAGGTACTTGAAATACTGCCATTTACAGCACATCTATCAGGTGTCAAGCATAACAGGCCCCTGACTACCTGCAGAAAAGAAGCTGTTCCACCATCTGTTATTATCCAAGGTGGTACAAAAAGCCTTATTGGAAAGAAAAGTGCTTAATGTTCTCTGTGCCAGAAAGGGAAAAATCCCTCTATTTCATGGTAGCCAGGGTAGTGGATCTACTCATAGCAATGATTTATTCCGAGATCATATGAAACTTGACTGTACAAAGTGGTGCCTTCTCTCTGGCAAGTGCTTAACCCACCAGCTTAGCCAACAGTTTGCACAGAATCCCCTGTACTTCAGGTTCCTGCTGGGAGCATTGGTTCCAACAGTTCAAGCCACACTTGGGCTTTACTTGCTACTACAGTGAGTATTTAAAAAGGAATTTGCTTATCCCCAAAGTCCAGGTTTGGGCAGATACCCCCGGCTCTAACAGACTAATTGTTGGCACCCAGCTGAGAGGGATTTTGTTGCACAGGGATACTGTTTGTGTGCTTATACCACTGTGATTCAAAATAGCCGTTTTCTCAGGCTCGTCCATTCAGAATGATATCATGTCCCAAGCGCTCTCGTTAAATTAATTGCCTGAGTTTCCTTTGTTTTGTGTAGCTGGATTAGTAAGGGTAAGGCTTGTTGCCTGTGAGCTCATGGGAATAACTTCTTTTGAACAATTGTTCCATCCATCTCTCTACAGTCTTTGTAGAATATGATTAAAAACCACTCTCCACCCCAAACTGAAACCCTTTGTAGCCATGACAAACAGTTTGCAACCATTTATTTTTCCTGGGATCCTTCTATTCTTCCCATGCCAATTGGTTAAGTATCAGTTAGATTGGGTTTAAAAAGCAGAAATCAAAGTAGCTAAGCCACCATGAACATGTTTTGAACTTGCACAGGGACTTAATTCTACACAGGTAGAAGCTGCAGCGAAACACAGCACAGAACAGCTGTAGTTGCTCCAAACACATCATGTATGACTTACCCTCTTTGACAGTAAAATGGCATTTCACCCTAGAAGTGAGAATAGCACAAACCACAGAACAAAAACATGGGTTCAGAAACAAAAATAGTCTTCCAGGACAAGCCTCAACATCAGTGTCTTGCAGCCCAGGGTGTTTTGCCATCTAGAAACTTGGAAGGACCATGAACACTGCTCTGTTCTCTGGAGGGCTAGATTGTCCCCTGTCCCCTCTGTCTTGCTGAGGTATGTAAAGGGATAGTTGTCACCACTTTTCCAAAATGGCAGACAGTTGGACTGGAAAGATCGGAATCTGTCTCTGGAAGAAGTGACTTACACTTGAGCTAGGAGAAGTCTGGGGAAACCAAAGGCAGAAACCAGGTCCTTCAAGGCCATGAGGCAACAGACCCCACATCTGAAACAAAGCACAGATTTCCTCTCCTCTTCTCTGTGGTGAAAAGCAGTGATGGCCTGATGACTGCTGGTGCTATCATGTCCATGTCCCACTCTCCTCATCTTCTCCCCAGCTGTGTTCATGTACTGAACATGATGAACATGAGGGCATGTTGGTGCCCACAGCCCTGGCTGCAGGCACCAGCAAGAATAATGTGAGCAGAGGGTGCCTGTCTCATGGTTTCAGCATTGCCACCTCAGCAGAGAAGTTGCTGGATGTCTCTTTTAAAATACAACATTGTAAAAAAATGGGTGCCATTTGCAAAACAGCAACATACAGAAGAGTCTCTTTCACAGGCACAAGGTCCCTTGAGGTAGCACAAAGAGCAACTTTCCCAGGGCTCAGGCATCTGATGGATCTGTGGAAGTCCCAGAGCCATGGAGATGACTCTGTGATCTACAGCAAAAAAACTACAAATTGTCACATTGCTAAATAGTACCTTAGTTCCAGCTTTGCCTTATTCCAGACCCTGATATATACCTTGACACATACCCCAACACTTACATATGAGTTGTCATGGAATAGGATCAAAGAGAAAGTCCACACCCAAGAAATGCCATGCCAGAAATTCCTCCCTTCATCTACAGGAACTTCATCTGAAAAAACGTCTTTATGCCCAAGTCTTCTGGAAACACAGAAGTTCCCACACCCAGAAGGATGCAGCCATGGCTTGGGACAGCCAATCAAAGCCACCCTGCAGTCTCCCCAGTGCTGTCACAGCAGCAGTGAAGATAGATCAATGTGAGTTTTTAGGGTACCTTTTCACTCAAAATATGTACCCACTCTCACAGTGGGCTGCCCTCTCACTTAGCACCCACGGAACCTGTGCTACTGTGTCTTGAAGGCTATCATTATCAATGCTAATCCAAGCTAGCCCTGGTTTTGCTTATTCACATCACTGTTTTAGTGCGCAGACAAGCTCTGGAGTCCCAAGCCTGTCAGAAGTCTGACTGGAGTCTTCTAGCTCAGAAGCAATGTGGAAGAGGAAGTGAGCCAGTGAATTCTGTACAGCTGCAGATGCTGGGCTGATTGTCAATGGGGCTCTGCGCAAAAGAAAAACGTACAGAAGGACTCCCAGAAATGAGGATACTGCAGTCAAAGTGAACTCGCACAGATCTGCAAAAGGAGCTTCACATTAAAGCTCCATGTACACTGAGCTTTGCCATCTGAGTGCACACTTTGCATGTACTTGCTACAACTGACTTGTTTACATCCACCTTTACTGTATCTCAGACCATGTTATTTGACCAACATTGTTAGAACCAAGCTCTAAATCACTTGAATGAAGAATTTCAACAGGAAACTTGATCTTCAGAAGCATCAGGAAATCATGCAGATGCAGATCTTAATAAAGCTGCTTAGCTGGAAAGAATTGCCAGAAAGTATCTTTGTGCTAATGTCAGCCAATTTTCTGAACTAGTTTTGAAACAATCCATCCTCCTCACCTTCCTCCGGTTTGCAGCAGTCATTGTAAACATTGCCAGGACAGCACAAGCAGATGATAGAACACTTTCCTTTTAAGAAAGAAAATAGCCTAACTTCATACCTTCACAAACTTCACCATATTTGGTAAGGAGTGGGTAAAGGTTTGCATTCTGTGACCACTATAGGAGCAGCAGTGGTTGTGTCTGTGTACCCTGAAGAGCTGAGAAAATTAACCCACCACCCACAAACCCATACAAAGCAAGCAGCTTACAGCAAGCTCTTCTCAACTTTTTATTTAGTTCCTTTAAATATGATTAAGCTTCAGAAGCCATCAGGCAGGCACAATGTTGTGCTGCTCCAGCGACTTTCCTAACAGCTGCACTGACTTGTTTGGCATCTCATCTCTGAAAATGACCAGAAAGAGGGATTTTGGTTTGTATGAAGGAGTATGGCACAAAAAGCACCGGAGAGACTAAGAGCCTTACAGCAATCTTGACTTGTCACCATTTCAGTTTTGTAAGACTTGCACATACACTGGGCAGAAATTAAGAGCATTAAAGCCAACAGCTGGTGGTAGCCAGGTGGAGATCAGACTTTTTTCATCATTAAAGGTAAATATGAAAAAGCTCCACAGGGTTACTTTGGACTAATGAAGGGTGAACTCAAACATCACCACAAAAGCAAATTCTCTAAGGAGGGCTGCGCAGATCAACCAGTACAAATGTAAAGGATGCTGGGCAGGCTCCTTTTAACAGATGAGATGTGCTTGCAAATGCTGACAAATCTCCCTGCATATGCAGGGCAAACCTCAAAAACTTAAGCCAGTTGAACAAGACTCCCCAGCCAGAAACATTAAGTCCTGGAACATAACGACTTACAAGACACTTTTTTCAGCTGAGGATCAAGGTGCAGCACCACAAGATGCTGGTGAGCAACAAGTCACATGCCTGTACACACAGTGTTTTAAGAACCCAATTTTCTGTTCTTCTGGAAGCAGAAGTATCACAAGCCTGTGATGGCAGAAAACTTAGCAAAGAAAAACTTCAGAGAGATAAGAGAACCTCAAAAGAGACCAAAGGAAATGAGGACAAATTTCAGTATGTTGATAATTCTGGAGACTACTTTTAACATAAAGAGAATACAGAGACTAGACCTCTGTTTAGCTGTTTTATAAAAGCCATAGCAGCAGTGGCTGGGGATTGATACTTGTTTTGGTAAACAGATGAGGAGGCTGATACAATCTGTTTAATAACTGGAGCTTCAAGTATAGGCAATGTGTGTGCACACAAGGCTGATTAAGTCATGGCCCATCAGGTACAAGAAAACTTTACATATATGACAGAATAAAGCGTTATGAGGAATAAAGCACATGATCAAAATCTAACTTCGCAGACTCTGGAGAACAGAAGTCTACCCAGGTTTTAAGCATTTGTTAAGCCAAGCAAAGAGCTTTCTAAGCTAGAAACATCTCATGTGACAGGAATTTGAAACTTCAGGGTCTGCACTTAAAAAAAAAACAGACAAACAACAAACAAGCCATCTACCCAAAAGCCTCTATAACTTGAACCAAGAGGGTTTTGAAATTGAATATTTTTCGGTCTCATTCCACTGCTTATTAGAAGAACTTGGTGTTGGAAAATCTGGAACTGATTTAGCTTGAGTCAGTAGCTACAGGCAACTCAAACTCTTCCTGAATAGTGCTTCCTCAGCAACATTATGAAGCTCACACCCAGATTTAAACAGGGGTGCAACGAATCCTAAACTTGCAGTGGGAAAGTAAGCAGCAGGCAGAAGGGAAAAACATCAAGAGGTCCTGTTGACTCTACCACCTGGGTGTCAGAGTTAAAAGCACTGGAAGCCTTCAAACTATTTTCTGCTAAAGAACATTGACGTAACTCATTAGATTCTTCATTAATTCTACTTGTTTCAGAAATGGCAATTACATCAGAATCATGACTGGAAATAAAGCAGTGCCAGTCTTGCAGCTTTTCCAACCATGAAGACACATAGCTGTAGCTATTCTGACTTTGGAATCAAGAGTGAGAAAAATCTATCCTTGCCCTTATCTTACTCTCCACAAGTAGTACTTGTTTGTATAATAAATACTTAGAATTACAGCAGTTAGAAGCAAACTCACAGGCTGATAAGCAATAATAATCAAGCTGCATTTTATTACACTGAGATTTCTTACTGATTGACAGCAATCACTAACTGAAGTACAATAGCCTGGTAAAGCTGGACAGCTTGCATAGGTATTTTTAAACAAAGGAACTGAGAAAGGTGACAGATAACAGTTTTAAAACACAAATAATTGTGCACCTTAAACTAAGGACAGTACAAAAATAATTAACACATTTACATTCATTTATCCAAGGCCACCTCTTCATGAACAGAAGGGACCTAAAATGATATTACATCATTTTATATCACCTTAAATTCTCTCATGTCTGTTTCAAACAGAAACTAGAAAGTTTATTTAGCTTCTGTTCCATTAAAAAGTTGTTCCATCCTCAGATCAGGGAGAGGCACAGAACTTCTCAAAGTTTAACCCACCAAATCCAGCTCTCTACCACACTACTATTGAAAAAACAGATACATTTATAAAAATAAAGTTATCATGCTAACTGTACAGCCTGTGGTCCTGCATCTGACATTTATAACAAACATGACATAGGCAAAATTATGGTCCACGAGGTGAGACAAGCCACAGGCAAGAGTTAGGCCATGTGTTCAATTTATAAACCTGGGATCTAAGCTTCTCTTTATAACAAGATTAGCTAGGCAAATCTGAGATAATTGGAGTTTACTATTTTTATCCGTTGCAAAGACCAAATGAAAATGTAAAGACAATGACAGAAACATTAGATACAAGAACCAATTTAAACAAAAAAGAACAACTAAATACCCCAAAATACCTAGTAAGACCAGCCTACTAATTAGGCAACAACTTGTACAGCTAGACTGGAGAGATTTAGTTATCTCCCATTAGAAACAGAATATGCAAAAACTTAAAAAAATATTTTTATCATACACAATATATTGCAGCAGATATCCATATACTCCAGCTGTTCATCAGCATGACAGGTGACACCAGATTATAAATGTAACAATGAAAGATACAGATGTGTTCTGAAGTGGTATTTCTGAACCTTTGGAAATAGATGAACATGCTTCCATTTCGGTAAGCAGCTCTGATGACATGGTGTTAGTGCACTGAAGTATCTTCATTTACATTTCCTCAAGGCTCCTCCTGATAGCTTCTTCAAATTCTGCATCTTGCTCTGTATAAATACAAAACCCAAATATAACCTCAAACTACGGCCAATAAATAGTACTAAACACAACTACATTAATATTACTACATAAAGCAACAGTCGTCAACTTGTGCGGCAATGTCAGGAGACTGCAAAACAACATAAACAGAATGAAAGTATTTTCCCTCCTCCTGGCTTATGCAATCTTTTCAACACTTGAAAATACAGGAACAACCTCTACAACCTTCCACTGTATTAATTAGGGGCAGCCCAATGATTAATTTAAGAGTATAATGCAACTACATATTTACTTATCAAAGTAATACCAAGATTAGAACCCGTATGTACCCACCAAGAAAAATAAAGTATTAAAACAAAACCACCAGCCAAGCAGAGAAGTTTCAGTATTTTCATTCCAGCTCCTTATCAATAGATATTCCTGTATCTACACTCTAAGTTGGCACCACTGTTGTCACTCTTGCTAGGAAGGCCAGACATAAGCAGTGGAATAGTCTAGATCAGGGCTGTAACACTTTTAATAGTGTGTGTGTGTGCGTGCGCGCGCATCTGATTTAGGTTAAACACCTTTCATAATATTAAAAAAGACACTTGGTTTCTGCATTACATTTTGGTTGTTTTGGGCACTAAATTGTTTGGCTTATATGTACAGTAAATATTAATACCAGTGGTATAAATGGAAAAATTAAGGCAGCTTTCAGACACAGTGTCATTCTTGAATTATTAATCTTCTGCTTTAGGAGGATACAAGCACATCCCATTAGAAAAGCTGTCTTTACAACAGAAGAAACAGTAATTATATATATTAACATAAGAGATATTAAAGCTTTAATTATTGCTGGGCTATTTTATCCAAGACCTAGATTTGGAAAAAAGAGTACCAATGAATGCTCTGTCATGGCAGCAGACCCGTATTTATTCACCTGGACTTTAGTGTAAATCTAGTACTACTGATAAAAAGGTATACTGGTTTCTGAAAGTGAAGTATTACATGGTCACAGAAGCAAAAAAAGAAATTTCAAAACCAAAACAAAGCAGAAAGGCACCTGCAGACAACTGCTCCATTAAAATATTTTGTCAGTTAGCCACTGAGCATGTGCAAGAATCAAGCATAAAGTTCAAACTGTGACTCTGCTGCTAATAGCATGCAGTTACCTCCACAGCAATACCCACATTGTTCTCTACTCCCTGGAGCTACTGAGGGAGCTTTTTCCACCTCCTATACTTGCTTTTCGCTTTCTTCTCCTCCAGAAGTTGCTAGTGCTTTTTCCTGCTTACCCCTTTCTGGGGTTGATTTTGCCGCCTCATTTCCTCTTACCCTGATATTACAGGGAACTGCCACTAACCACGCAGTGAACACAGCTGAAGCCAGGCTGCTTCATAAGGTCAAATGCCTTCAGCACTGCATCGGAACTGGGATGTCCTGTGTGCACGAAGTGCCACAGCTCTACCTGATACCAATACACTGTGCTAGGGGGACCTGAGCACAGCAGACTTTCAGTACTGTAGATGAGTATGTTTTAATAACAGCTAGTAAACGTATAACTGAATATATTCTGGGAATGTAAGATTCAGATACCAGTTTTATCTTGACTCTGTATGAGTTCTTTATTGCTTTTTTTTTTTCTTAGATAATTGTATTTCCATCAGGTGGAAGAGCAGAGTCAAGCCTCTGAAAAATAGATTATTTTCAAAGTGCACTGTAGTCTGTAACCAAAAATTAATGACTATGTTGTATGAACCACCACTAAGCACAACAGCAAAAGGATGGAAACAATTTCAAATAAGGCAAGATATGATGTGAGCAGACAGCTGTGCTGCTGATTCAAACTTCTGCATAAATCTACAGCTCTTTAGGAGACCAGAGTGCTTTGCCGAGATATAATACCTAATTCTGAACTACTTATTCAGAAATTCAACTATTTAGTCAGTGGTTCTGTTCTGAGTCAAGTCACATTAAACTGGTACAAAGTGAGCTCAGACAAGTCTTTAATTGAACAATACCCTGTGGTGCACCAATAATATCAATTTTGAGTTTGTGGCCTACTTCTGAGGTTAGGAAATTATTATTTTATATATTTATAACTCACAGTGTTCTTGACTGCTCAGGATTTCCCAGCGTATTTTAGAGATTATTCCTAAGAGGACCCCTGCCATAAAACTGAGTGTATTCTTGTTTCTGTATCTTCCATAATTAACAGCACCCCTGAACACAGAAAAGTAAAAGTTAACAGACCTGCCTGTTCGTTTGCTTCTTCTAAGCTCCTCTTCATTGTTAGTTTGAGATCTTCATCCTCTTCGCTATCTGAACCTTAAGTGCACAAATGAAGCATAAGTTACACACTGCTTCTAATAAATAAAAAAAAAAAAAAGGTAACAGTCCACTCTTGCACTTCTCTTACTGTAACAACACTGTAGGCTGCATTTGAAGAAGTACACTTGTCATGGTCTGAAAAATCAAGATAAAAATACATTACAGTGGTAATTTAAGACAGTAACTCAAGAGACAGTTTCTCAGCTACCTTCTTTTTCTACCTAAAATCTAGAGGCAGACTGCTACAATTGTATATTATTTTAAAGTGGTAACAAGAAATAATAGGTGTATGAGCTATTTTTACTGTCTGCTGCATTTGCTTTCTTGTAATACTTAAAAAAAGACATTACTTTCTACAAAGTATCAAGGATTTAATTATGGGAAGAAGTCCTATAGTGTCTCTGCCTACACGTGATCTTGGCTGTATTTTGTTGTTGCAACTCAACTGTGTAGTTCAGCAGATGCTGTTCAAGTCTCACAGAAGAAAAAAGTCAATACATTTAGTTTAACCTGCTAACGCATCATAGCTAAGCCCAAGCAAAATTCCACCACCCTTCCCTTTCTTAATGCTCTTCATAACGCTCCAGAATGACAGCTCTATTTGGAAATGTCTAGTAGGGATCAGTGTATCTAAGGTGGATTTTTTGTTTGCTTTAAACAGTCTCAGTAAACTACAGGTTAAAAAATAAAAACAAGTCAATGAGTCACATAATGTATTCATTCTCCTGCTACAGGCTATTGCTATTCTGGGAGATGGCCTCTATAATGAGGTCTTCCAGTATTTGCAATCAACTAGGTCTCCTACAGTCATACCAACAGAAGCGCTTCCCTTAAAGTCATCACATTTATTAGTACACCAGTGTGCTTCTGATTAAATTTAGAACAAAGCAAAGAACATTTCAATATGGACATCTAATTACTGTGTGACTTATGCATCTTAAATGACCCAAGTTAGGTATTCAGAGCGACAAGTACACTTGCTAAAACTTGTTTTAAAATCTCTGACACATATATCTTCTTAGAACAGCAATGTTGCTGACTTTCCCAATTCCAGGAATACAAACTCCAACAGCTTGTATCAAATAGAGATCAGGAGCCCACAAAGATGTCAGAAATAGGTGGATATACACTGCAGTTAAAATGGTCCTTCTCCGGTCACTTGGAAGATTATCTGTGAATTCTTTATGCAGCTGCCTACTATCTCTTGGCAGAAGAGATACTATTTTTTATACCATCTTCCAAAGCAAAAGAAAGAAAAATCCACACAATGCCAGAAAAAAAAGTCATTACAATCACTTCTGAAAAGGAGGGAAAGTGCAAAGAAAAGGCTTTGCACAACTAGCTTATCCCTTTTTAACCCTCCTTTTAATCTTCCATCCTGGAAGACATCCCATAATGCTCTAAAAAGTTTTGTACCTGTTTAGAGGTATAACAGCTGAGGCAATCTCTCTTTAACTCATTTCTTGGCAGAAGCATAATGGAAGAATTGAGTTCTTGCAAGCAGGCGCAGTAAGGAATCATACAAAACGGTCCCTGGTTTGCTACCATTTCAAATAAAACCACACGTTTCTGAAGGCTTGTTTTTTAAGGCAACTTGACAGAAGGCAATATTATTCTGGTTGGCATCTTGCATAGATGGTTAAAAAGCAAAGGATAGGAACAGTCAGAAATCCAGGAGTTTCTTTCAGATATGAACTAAGGAAGTCAGCATTCCTGGAACTGGTTATAGAGTCAGCGAACGTTCACCACAGAAGCAGCCATGATGGCAACCCACTGACCCGCTGTTAGGAGACAGCATTTCCTCACTCCTGGCTTCCCCAACCCAGGCAACAGGCTAACTTGAGGCTCATTTTTCAGAATGCAGCAGATCAGCAGCTAAGCTGACTTTACTGTCAAATAGAACAGTTATGAATGCTGAAACAGGGTATAGAGTTATTATCCAAGTTCCTTAAGAAAGTTTAGGATTCATCGCATGTATTAATGCAGGCCTCATCTTACCAAAATGTTTTGCTAGTCACACCACCTTAATTACACCCCTGTAATAACATGGGGTACACATTCATATTGGAACAGACATATATGCAAACTGGCATGCAAAACATTTAAACATTTCAAAACCAAGTTGCCTGGCTCATGATTTATCACTGCACCTGATACGCAGTAAGTAAATACTGCCTGAGAGTTATAGCATCACAGAGAGCAGGTTTGCTTAAAGCATAGCTGAAGACACCACCATTCCACTGCCAGAAACTATGAAACTTGAATACAATTAATACTGATGATTTTCTCTTAGTTTGAGGTGTAAAAAAAAAACCCAACAAAATCAGCTTGGAGTCAATGTGTTTATAAAGCATGTTAAAAGTCTCATGAGCTACACTCTGCCTTCACTGGTCATTATTTGCAAGACTTCTCTCCCCTCTACCCAATTATACTAATGCACATTCAACTTCCCATGAAGGCAGTCACTGAATTCTCTGAAATCTGGGTGCCTAAGAAAGTACTAAATCTTATTTAGGAGCTTTTCACACTAAGGCTTGTCAGTATCTTAAATTACACTGAGACTTTCCTTATCCAAAGCCTAAAACATGCTTGTCCTCAGTGTTTTCCCCCCTCTCTCACCTCCCTACTCCCCAAACCTACACAAAGCAAAGACTAAAGGCACAAAAGCAGTAAAGACAAGAATTTCAAGATGTTCTGATATGGCTGTATAGGAATCAGGAGTAAGACCGTAACAGTCAGAAGAAAAACTGTCCGCAGGCAAAATTCCTAGGCAGAAATGCTCCAACAAATAAGGAATCAGCTCTCTTTAGGGGCCAGACTGCAAGAAGTATTAGTGTGGAACTCAGCACTTGTCATCCGAAGAGAAGGAAAGGCCAACTGATGGAAGAGATGCATTTTCAAGTCAGAAGACCTGAAACCATGGGACAGGTTTTCCACATGGGACAGGCCATTGCTCTTGATCTAATGCTACTCAGTGTGTCTACCCTGCAACCGAACTCTGCTCTCAAGGAGATCATAGGTAACACTTAAGAACATACTCTATGCAAGTACCACAGAATGGCTGAGGTTGGCAGTGACCTCTGGAAGCCTCTTGTCCAGCCCCCTGCTCAAGCAGGATCACCTACAGCCAGCTGCCTAGGAGTATGTCCAGATTGTTTTTTAATACTGTCAAACAGACTCTGTACTGGGGAGCTCAGAACTTGTTAGTTGTGGCCATACTAGTACTAAGAAGAGGGAAAAGACCAATCCCTCCACCTGCTGGCAGCAGTCCTCCTAGTGCAGCCCAGGGTATTTAAACTTTCAGCCAGCAGAGCACATTATTGGCTCCTGGTCAACTTGGTGTCCACCAGGACCCCCAGGTCCTTTCCTGCAAAGCTGTTTTCCAGCTAGTTGTCCTCCAGTGCCTGGGGTTGTTCCATTCTGGGTGCAGGACTCCGCACTTCTCCTTGTTGAACTTCATGAGGTTCCTGTCATCCAATTTCTCCCCTGTCCAAGTTCTTCTGGATGGCAGCACAATCCTTTGGAGTATCAGCTGCCACTCAGGCTTGTGTCCTCAGCAAACCTGCTGAGGGTACACACTGCTCCACCATCTAGGCCATCAGTGAAGACATTAAACAGCACCAGACCCAGTACTGACCCCTGGGGTACACAGCTGGTTACTGGCCTCCAACTGGGCTTCATGCCACTGACCACCATGTTCTGGCCATCCAGCAAGTTTTCAATCCACCTCACAGCTTCCTCATCCAGCCCACACTTCATCAGCATATACTGCTGGTACTGCTGACACCTTCTGATGATGAAGCCTAAATAAGAACATTTAATTTTGAGAAACTGGGCATTTTCTGTCTCTCTTGTTAAAATACTTAGCACATTCTGTAGCTCCCAACTCCTCTGGGGTCAGAGAAAAAGCAATTGCCAAGTTGCTCCACCAAGAAATCTTAAGATATGGCCTCTTCTCTGGTACATTTTGTTAAATAAACAACAGCTAAGAAACTCTGACTGTATATATTCTCTCAAATCCTCCTGCTCACTATTGTCCTCCCATATTGCCAAATTCCTGCTGGAGGAACAAAAAAAAAAGAAAATAGGAAAGCAAATTCTGGATGGACATACAACTCAGATCAGAAAGATTAACCCTGTAGATGGGAGTAAATATAGTGATTTTTTGACTTTTCATGAGTCTCTCATAGAAACCCGCTCTGGCAAGAGCCTGGTAAACTTTCACAGCATGCAAGCGCCACCCGCTGTTCTGACATCAAAGCGCCACAGCTTGAATTTGGATTAGCTGCCCAAATGGCTCAGTGTAATTCCCCACTGTCGTGGTTTAAACCCAGTCAGGTAATTCGTTCGCTCACTTCCCCCCCCCCTTTCTTGCCCTCCCCCTGCTCTTTTCCCATGATAAGAACAGTTTAGTAACTAAGGTATAACACAAATCACTACTGCTACTGCTGAACCCAGGACACTACGTAACTTACAACATTCTGAAGCTGTGAGATCAAGAAGAACAACTCTGAGAGCCAATAAATCACCATTGTGACGAGTGACTATTAATCCAGTCACATCTCAACCCTTCGTGCCCCACATGCAGAGCAGGGGGAGGGCCACGAATTACCTGACTGGGTTTAAACCACGACAGTTCTTTTTTGGGCATCACTATCGATACCTCCTCCAACCCCGCAGACTCCCAGCCCTTCCGGCTCACTCCCAGTTATATCCTGGGCATGGCGTGCTGTGGTATGGAATACCTCTTTGGTCAGTTTGGGTCAGGTGTCCTGTCTCTGCTTCCTCCTGGCTTCCCCTCCTCCCTGGCAGAGCATGAGCCTCGCAGAGTCCTTGGCCAAACCAAAACATCACCTATCAGCTCTGTTCCCAAGCTGAAAGTCAAAACACTGCACTGCACCAGCTACCAAGAAGGGGAAAAATGACTGCTACTGCTGAACCCAGGACACCCACCTATATCTGAGACTGTTCTTGCAGCCTCCCAGGTCACCACCATCCCCTTAATTTCCATCAGGTTTACCAGTTCCTCTGCCTCACTAGACTGGATTTCCCTTCCCCAGCCTTAGTCCTCTTCCCTGCCATGCAAGTTCTCAAGACCTGACTACATGCTTCAGTGTGCAGTCTCACACCATCACTTCTCTCTCCTACAACTCTCCTTTTCAGTAACTCCGAATCTCATCTGCCTCCTTCCCATCCCAATGTACATTAATATCACACTTAACTTGCTGTCTCTCCACCACTGGATCTTTTCATTTTACAGCCGATTCCTGAAGTTTTAGATCTACTTTGCCTTAAGGATACCATTAAAGTTACCTCATTCAGGATCCTAGTAACTACTTAGCCAAAACCTCAAGATAAGTACCGCATCCTTACCTCCAGTAGCAATCACATTCAGTCTGTGTGATCATACTGCCTTTAAAATACTGTTTGTGGCTTCCAGAATCCTTTATTTTATTCCTTCTTCAACAGTCCCAGCAGGATCCTTCTTACATACTTCTCCCCAATACTTACTGCTCAAATCTCCTGTTTCTTCATTTAGGTAACATCATTTGTAAATGCAAGTACAGCTACTCCCTGCTGAGTGGTCACAAATACACAAGACCTCTCTTCCTCCAGGCAAACTAAAGCTTCGCAGTATGCATCTCTCCATACAGATGCTCATTCACCTGTTCATTCAAGCCAATACCATGAATATCATGATGGTCATTCAGACTTTCATTTAACCTTCATCTTAGACATCTCTCAAATCCACATCCAAATTAAACTAAACCTTGAAGATTTTTTTATGTGATCTGGGTGGGGGAGGTCTTTCGAGTTCATCCACTTGGCTACAATTCTTGTTCAGACTCATTATCTTGGTTCTTAATACACTGTTTTCTCCGTAGGGCATATACATATGTTCAAAGATGCACACAAGAGATGCCACTGACATACCAAAGCTTCCTGTTGTAGCTAAACACAAGGTTACAACTCAAAGGTGACTTTCCTATCTCTCCCTACTGCAATAGGCTGTGGTCACCATATGGTCAGATGTGGTATTAATATTGGACCTCAACACCCACAAAAACTTGACTACTGAGAAGGCTAGGAATTATTCTCAGTGTCTTCCGTCAATGAATCCTTGAACTTCTCTTAAATTCTTTTGTTGGCTGTATGTAGACCAAAAGCTTTTGGGGAAAGTGGGAGCTGGGAAGCTTAGCAGCATTCATTGAGACAAATTAAAATACTGCTCTTTCAAATATAAACTCTAATAGAAGCTGCATTCAGTAGTATTTAAACACTTCAGGCAATAGTAGCAGATTGAAGATGCAGGCTGACAATTCCACTTGAGCACAGTGGAAACAAACTTCATAGGACAGTGAGTGAAAGAGGTGTAGTTGGTTGTTTGCCAGACAACAGTACACCACTACATCACTGATTTTGTCAGTCTCATGAGACAACATGGCTCTAAAAGAAAGGAGAAGAAATACTAAAAAAAAAATTTGGTCCTCTTATTATTAAAAAAAGTCTGTTTTACTTAAGAGCTCAGCCATTAAAGGATGTCATTTGAACATGACTGTGAGAAATACAGTTAAGTTAGAACCACCAACTTACAAAAAAATCACTCTTGTGAATCAAGAAGTTGTTGCATTCCTGTCTGTGTCAGGATCAGTCTGATGCCCCATAACCTACCATCAGCTTTGCCCTCAACATCATCCAGCACTCATTTAAAGTATAAGCTGTAGCAGTACTGTCATGACTAGATATCAAGGGCAAAGACAAAAGGGAATAATGGGAGTTTCCTGCACGCTACAAACTCTTCTTTGCAAAGGAATTACAAAAGGACACACTGAAAACTCTTCTACCCTTCTCAAGCCACTTGATTAACATGCATGTATCTCCCATCATATGTTGTGCTTTCAACATAAAAAACCTTGTCTTTATGAACTCAGGTTTAGCAGCAGAAGAGAGCAAATAAGAATAAATATCTTGCCTACTCTTTTCATACCTCAAAGGAAATTCATGCATCCACTACAGCCAATAGTTTCCTAAGGTAACATACAGTTGATAACCTATTGCAGCATATGCAGGAACTGTATCTATTTATTCTAAAATGAATGCATGTACCACTCTTCCCACAGCAGTTCTGCTGACACAGTAAAATGGCTCACAAGGTGTAAGTGCCAGATAGTGCCACAATTCAAACACAACCCAGCTGCTCACAAGCTAATGACAGCTTGGTGAAGGCGATTCAGGGAAATAGCTTTTTCATTTTGCAGCTCATGCAAAAATCAACAACTGCCTTACATTTTTCAACACAGTTCTCTGCTGTAACTGTTTCTCACTTACTTCTTCTCCCAGAATAATAGCCATAGGCTTGAGAAAGTCACAAAGCAAGCAAGTGTTATTTATATTTCCTTATATTCAGCTGCATTTCTGTAACAGGACAACAGGCTAAATCAGCCTGTGATACACTGCACTTTCCATCTCAGACCACCAATACTGGCCTTGCCACACTAAGACTTGCAAATGCTTGCTGGTGCTGCTGAACCACACAATGAAGTGTGTCTTACGTGGTAGCTTTATCTCTTGAAAACTTCACAGGCTTTTGGTAACATCATCCCACTATACAGCAACCATAGGCCTGTTAGCAAAACTGAATTTTTTAACATCCTGGTTTAATACAGGAAGAGGACAAAGGCAGCTCTCACTGTTGGGTCTCCCCCTATTGACCCTGACTGGAGAAGGGGAACAAGGATGGCTCAAGAGAGTTCCGTTCCTTACAATTTGACAGGGAATGCCAACAGCCAAGGGACTCATGCACAATTCTATCACTTTCCAACTCAAAGTATTATTTTTAATAACAACCCCATGCATAACTTAAGTGGGATGCACAACAGTAACTTAAATTCTGGGGCCTCCCAGTAGTGCCCATCACCCTAACAGTAAATTAAATATTAACATAGTAAAGGACGTCAAAAGATGGGTTAAATTAGGAATCTTCTGAAAGCAAAACCAATATAAAAATAATTGCTGGAGTGTAAATTGTACACAGAAAACAGACCAAAGTCATTACCTCTGAGCCAGTGTACCCTGGCAAATAAAGCTATACTGGCAAACTAGCCAGGTAGGGAGCTGGAGTACCCTTGCATAGCAAAAGGGTCATCCCCCTCTCCTCACCATCTGGTATTGTCAAATCACACAACAAACTGTACAAGAAAGGAAGCCCCTATAGCTAAACTGACTTGCAGCTAAATTGACTTAAACTGACTGCTTGCAAGTTCCACCTCACTTCCAACTCTTCCTTCTGAAAATATGCAAAGGTCCTGAAGCAAAACCAGCCTCCCACATTAATATACAATTATAGCTATAATTACATTCAAAGAAATCTATCAATCTAGGAATTTAAATATGCTCTACAAAGAAAACATTCATAGTGGGAAATGCAATGATTCCATGTGTAGCTTTATGGATAACTGCAGAGAAAAGTCATCTTCCCCCTTGAGCAAAATGAATTGCACTAGTGGAAGTTACAGTTCTGTAATTCACTATGCCAACAAATTTTACTGGTATGGCTCCTTCTGGCTGGGAATCACATCTCCATACTGCAGCTGAAAAATCTAGACCAGCAAATGATTGGGGTGACCAGAAAACACTATCAGCACCTTTTCTGTATCAGAAGCAGATAAATCAATTCCAGCCCCCCCCAGATCTTTTTTTTTTTTTTTTTTTTACCTCAGGAAACCATTTAACTGTTCTTTTTCACTTTAATTGATTGATGCCAACTCACCATTCAGCACTAACACTCCACTCCAGTCTTCCTGGTAGGACAGCAGCACCATATGATAGCTCTCATACACCTGCATCAAGACTAGCAGTGTATTTTTGTGAAAGCAGCTTAGGGTCAATTCAACCTTCTGTAACATGCACTCAATTTAAAGCCCTCAAAACCACAAGAAACCAGGAAAAGCATTGTGTCTACAGAGAAATGCCAGGTTGTTTTCTAGGAAACCTCTACTTCAAAGTGTTTTAAAATACTGAGAATTATTAAAACTCATCTCAGCTCTAGTATCCTTTGCATGAAAATGAGCTAGCTCAAACCTCTTTGATTATCCTATGTAAAACCAGTGTGATCATTGTAGCATGCCATAAATTAGAATGTGGCATTCCAGAAAATGTAAAAGTTTTCATTGATGTTTTACCTCCAAATGGATTCACATTTGTTTCAGACCCAGAACAAACCAAGCAAAGCAAATTTGAGTACAAATTGACAAATACGCACATAAGAGTGCACTAAACAGCTTCCATCTAACTAGAAAGGAGTCTTCAGGCTGAAACAACCGTTTGTGTCCTGCTATAAATAAAGAATAAAGCAAGAACAATCATTATGTTGAACAAAAATGCTTAATTAAGTCTGATTTCAAAGCTTGCCCCAAGAAAATTGTTTTTCTGATATATATTTCATTGAAATACCAGTACAATACAAGAATCAAAGCAACAGCTTGTGTTACAGCACGAAGCGTTCAAATCTTTTATTGGAAAGAACTATCAACTGGAAAGATTGTGTTTAATGTTAGTTTCTACCTTTTGTGGTATCAGAAATGCTGTTTAGCAAGGCATACATCTTGTCTCCTTCAATATGGTGGGGATTTAGGATGCGAGCTGGCCGCTGAGTCATTTTAAATTGAGTTTCCAGTTCCAGGAAGCTTTTGTCTCCAGAAAGAATAGTGAAAGGAATTTGCTTGGGCAGGTGCTCATCCAGACGACCAGCCTATATGGAAACAAATGACAAACGTTGAACTGAGATCATGTTTTTATCTTGTGGGGTTTGGTGAGCTTTTTGTAAGACACATCTTCATAGGAAAGCTTTCTACAGCAACTTGCCTCCACTTTTATGGTCCAATGCACATTATACCACTGTGAAGGGCATTATTTCAATAGCTTGACATTGCATTTATTCTATACATATGACAATAGATACAGGAAATGGCTAGCAGAACAGTACAGATGGAATATGGAACAAATTCCTAGAGAGCAGCATTTCAGAATCAGCTTCACATAAATCACCTGTGCAGTGCATTTTAAGAGCTATGCAAAAAGTGTAATGTAATATACAAACACTGCTGCAAAACATATAGTTACATTCTCAAGTAATTTTATCTAACTGATATTCACTATATTAAGAACTCCAAGGCATCCCAGATTCCTGTCCTTCAACCTGCACCACTCCCAACCCAGTCAAAGCCTTAGGTCTACTTAACAGAGGCAGTGCTCTTTGTTAGCCCAGCAGGGTCTTTGAAACTGGCACCCATTCAACTCCATCTGAAAAATGGCTCTAGATTTGGGCTACTTGAAGAGAGAGGCAAGGAGGTACATTTCTCTGAAACTGTAAGATCTGCGGTGGGGGATTTATTCTTCATTCCCTACCCAGCCTCCTTCCCCTCCACAACAAACTGAGGTCCTGCTTGGGCTAAGTTTTATTCCTAGGGAAAGAAAAAAAACGTAACATCATATCTCAACAGGCTGTCTTCATTCAATTCAGTAACAGGTTTATTATTCTGTGTAGCAGACATAGGAGTCCTGTGCAGTCATCTAGTAATTAGTACTTAACATCAATAACACATATCACTTGCCCTTCTTCTCTGGGTATAGAAGTACAACAATAAAGCAAGCATGCACTAACTTACATGGACACAGATAGCAAAGTCTGCTGCTTCCCTTCTGGTACCACAACGTGGATGAAGGAAGAAACACCCAATCCTCTTAAGGTAATTGTAAACTTTGCAATGCACTGGAGGTTTCCAGTTGCTGTAGCCTCCTAAACGGTGAAGAAAAATAAATAAAAATCAAACCAACGGACCAACACCCCAAACCACAAAGCAAAACCCAATCCAACCAACATCCCCTCCCCCCCAAAAAACAAACAGAAATGACCCATCAACCAAGAATGTAAGTGAAAAGCAAAGATAAATCTTGCTTTGAAATCAGTATTTTCATCAACGTGAAAGACAAACACATAACCAAAATCCCCGAAGAACCCTTATTCTTGGGTTAGAAAGCAAAGAGGGAAAAAGTAGCTAGCATCTCATTCAATTTTGTATGAATTTTATTTCTAATCCCAAAAAAACTTATCTTCTAGACATTATGTGCTTTTAGACACAGGATGCACTTTTCTCCCCAGTTACAAGCACAGTTACGGTTAATATGCAGAAGCAAAGGAGCTCTGGTAACACAGTACAAGTAACAAATGTTTCTCTAAGGGAATCCTGTACTACTGTAATGCCCAAGATTCTTTTCAACAGACTGAACTGCTTGACACATCACATGTCAGAACTGTTTAAGAATCCAAGAACTGAAGCAACAGCTGAAACAAATGCTAGAGTCCTGACAAACACTTGGTGAAGTCAGAGATAAGCAAAATGAAGCTACAACTGGGGAAAAAAAATAAGCATGGCAATTTTCTCAATGGCATCTGAAAACATGTAATTACTGGCTGAGAAAACAGTTGGATAACAGAGATGAGCCAAGTAAAAGGCCTGCTACAGATAAAAATACCAGGCTGTAACAGGTTGCAAGAGAAAGAAAAGGAGCAGCAAGTCTCTCAAGAAAAGAGGAGAAAACAGGAGACAAACAAATGGAAGGACAATTTGAAGAGAGTGAATAAGAATTTCATAACATTCCCAATTGCTAAGAAATAATGGGTCTGCAGTGGGGAGGAAAAAATGTTGCTGTAACTGCCAGACGATAGAATGGCTGAATGTGAGAAAGGATTTTGAATGGAAGGTGAAAGCAATCATTGATCACACTTCATGTGAGCACCTGTGGAACTAAGGCTCATGGGGCTGCAGAGCACTGTGCTTTCCCAACCTGCCCACTGCCAGTCTGACAAAGATGTAGAAGCAATCTTCATTAGATTTCTCTTGTTCCCCCACCTTTTCAGCTTAATGGCTATAAGAGGATAACAAAAATCATCTCAAAGCTCAAAGACTTAGTACAGACTACACAGTAATAAATTATATGTATCCCTCCATGAGAAAAATGCTTTTTACAAGTCATTCTCATCTGTTGTGACAGCTATTTGGGAGACTTGTAATCGCCAGACCTAGCTTTTGGCAGCATAAAAGTACAACATAGATATTTGACTAGGACAGCTGAAAACAGTGACAGAACTGTCAGACTATACCACAAATGGGTTAGGGACATGATATCTGAGAACAGAAACAATAGAGAGCCTGGGGAATACAATGGAGGAACTCAAAGCAAAGCTAAGCCTGTGTTAGCAATAGGAATAACAGAAATAATGCAAATGCATCATACAAAAATACAATCAGAAATGTTGTTTGACGAAATGCTGGGTGGGAGGAGCAGAAGAAGACAGGGATGTCACTGTATTGTCACAGCCTAATAACAAGAATAGCATACATCAAGTAACACTGTAAACCATTACTATGAGAGGGCACCTACAACAATAAGTCCAGATGTGTCTGGGAGCCTTAGTTTACCCAGGCTCTGTAACAATACACTTGATACTAATAAACTGCTCAAGTATTCTCCGATATGAATATGGCCCATTTTAATCACCATTTAACTCTTCATTGTGGGTTTCTCAGTTCAAGTGCTCCAGGGGTGATTCCCACAAAGCAGCCTACATGCAGCAACCCTGCTGAAGAAATTTCAACTCCTGCAAGAAATGGAGTGGCACTGACATGGGCTGTGCTGTGCCAGCAGGTGCCTGTGTTTGGAGTTTGCAGAGTCTAGTTGGAGGCCTGTAACTAGTGGAGTGCCTCAAGGGTCAGTACTGGGACCAGTATTATTTAATGTATTCATCAATGATTTAGATGAGGGAATTGAGTGTACTATCAGCAAGTTTGCTGATGACACTAAGCTGGGAGGAGTGGCTGACACGCCAGAAGGCTGTGCTGCCATCCAGCGAGACCTGGACAGGCTGGAGAGTTGGGCAGGGAATAACTGGATGAAATATAACAAGGGAAAGTGTAGAGTCCTGCATCTGGGCAGGAACAACCCCAGGTTCCAGTATAGGTTGGGGAACGACCTGGTAGAGAGCAGTGTAGGGGAGAGGGACCTGGGGGTCCTAGTGGACGACAGGATGACCATGAGCCAACACTGTGCCCTTGTGGTCAAGGAGGCCAATGGCATCCTGGGGTGTATTAGAAGGGGGGTGGTTAGTAGGTCGAGAGAGGTCCTCCTTCCCCTCTCCTCTGCCCTGGTGAGACCGCATCTGGAATACTGTGTCCAGTTCTGGGCCCCTCAGTTCAAGAAGGACAGGGACCTGCTGGAGAGAGTCCAGCACAGGGCAACTAAGATGATTAAGGGAGTGGAGCATCTCCCTTATGAGGAAAGACTGAGGGAGCTGGGTCTCTATAGTTTAGAGAAGAGGAGACTGAGGGGTGACCTTATTAGTGTCTATAAATATATAAAGGGGGAGTGTCACGAGGATGGAGCCAGGCTCTACTCAGTGGCAAACAATGATAGGACAAGGGGTAATGGGTACAAACTGGAACACAAGAGGTTCCACTTAAACTTGAGAAGAAACTTCTCAGTGAGGGTGACGGAACACTGGAACAGGCTGCCCAGGGAGGTTGTGGAGTCTCCTTCCCTGGAGACATTCAAAACCCACCTGGACACATTCCTGTGTAACATTATCTAGGTGTTCCTGCCCCGGCAGGGGGACTGGACTAGATGATCTTTCAAGGTCCCTTCCAATCTCTAGCATACTGTGTGATATCCCTGAGCATTGTCTTAACTAGGGTAAGCCTGTCGTATTAATAGAGGTTCCTACAACAGACTAGTAACACTAAGATCATACTATGGATTATTTCTCTTTCTCAGATAGGTTAGAGAAGAGACATTTCTGACAACAACACAGTTCAGACATTCCTGGGTTCAACCAATTTTTTTCTAAATCAAAACAGAGCATTTTAGCCTTGGAAAATAGTAACAGCACAGAAGACCATGTCATAACAAACAAACTTAGATCAGTTAATGACAAACCAGTTTTGAGTAACTTAGATAGAATAACAAAGTATGACTGAAAGCAAGTGTCTAAATTCAAGTGGGGAAAATTTGACATAACTGTGTAAATTTACCCTTTACTAAATAATTCTCTATAAAACCCAGACAGAGTAGCTTTGGACTTCAGGTGTCAAATAGGCCTGACATTTCTTCAAGACAGATTCCTAATAGTCACTTATCCATAGAAAAAGGAAAAAAATATTTTTCCCAGGCCAAGTGGATTCAGTAACTGTAGAAACAAAAACCAAAGCAACTAAAAACTGACCTAAATCTTGAATCACAAGAGGCTTAGAAGTAAAGGAGTGCAGAGGTGAAGTGAAATTTGACCAGAAGTCAAGCTGGGCAAAGCCTTACAAGAGAGAAGAACAAAACAAAAGGTTTTTCAGCCATATAGAAAAGAGAATATAAATAAATGGAGCAGCCAGGCAGCAAGGATGAAGTAGGAATCCAGAATTACTTGGTATAATCCAACCTCTCAAGATCAGTCTTTTCAGTGGCTTTGTGTGCATGCACAAGAATACTGTTACTGTGCAGACAGGCCAAAAGCTAGGTAATGACAATACAGGTAATGTCTGAGCAGAACACAACACTCAGGAGCATAACCCACTTTAACACAAAAGACCAGAGGACTGGTCCCCAGAACTTCTAACAACCAGATAGTAGACTACAGGTCCAGGAGCACAGCTCATTGAAGAACTTCGCATTTACAGACATACTTGCTCTGCCCTCATCAGCTATCTGGAATGCCTGTTTCTAAGTGGGAGGGAGTGTTTGTGGGGTGATTCAGGCATCAACAGGACTTTCTGTCCAGCCTCTGCAGAATGAAAACTCTCAGTTTTCAGGATGGTCTTGGTTATCTTTGAAAGCAAGAGATAATCGAGAACATTAAGTAAAGAAGTGGTGCAGTGCAATAGTGTTTACTAAGCATAAAACACACCTGACAACTCCTGCAAGTCTGTTAAGATGAAGCTTATGTCTCAGGCAATATATATATTCAAACCATCCCTTACCTAGACTTTACTGAAGTATTTAATGTACCACAGGTGAAATAATTATGAAGGCAGACACAGAGAAAACCAGTAGAAAAAACATGAGGTGGACAAGAATAGTCAGGTAAGGAAAAGTACCAAATTAGAGGGATGCTATTGACAGACTTGGCAAAATTTTTTCTTCCAAACCCATAACAATGTGAATTCCACCCATCACCCAGTACCATTACTGGTATCTTCCAGATGTGAGATATACCTGTAGGATGACCAGGGACATCCTTAAGGAGCAAGCCAGAGACAAAACAGAATTAAAAAATGTAAAATCATGCCTTTTGGAACTAAAAATAAAAATAACATTGTGACAATGACTTGGAAGTCTGAAAGAAAACAGCCTCTGAGTATTATGGCTGTCCCAATAATGATGAAAAGCTAGTATGATGTCACCTTCAACAGGGAAGACAGAAAGATTCCTAACCCATTCAGCAATTGTGGAACAATATGCTAAAAGAAATAGTAAGAACAGAGGAGGTTAAGACTGAGTTAGAAAACTTAAGAATATTTCTATTACATGGTGCCTGTGACACAGTAACTAAAGGGGCCCTAGTGGCTGCTAGCTCCTGTTCTTCACTCAAAGAATTTCTCCTCTGTGTAGACTTGTTAATCTCATCTTCCTGTTTCCTTCAACCACTTCTTACCTTGAAAGCCCCAGATAAATGTCCCTTGGTTCAGGTTAGCTGGCAGCTGCGTGAATAAGCTTCCCCAGTTGTCTAGATCCACTAACACAATGTGAGTCATGGTACTCAGGTAGTCAAGATCAGGAAGTTCATCATCTTCAGTGGGATAAAAAGGATGACTTTGTGGTCAACCAACATACATCAACTTAAGATATGCTTTTGCAAATTCATGTATTCAACTGTTCTATAAGCTAAAAGTTACAAAACATGATCCTATTTGGTAATTGCATGGTTTTAAAATCAACTGAAGTAGCACTTAATAAAACACAAATCAGACAAAGTAGAATCTAGCTATTTGGTGGTGTAGAGCTGGATAGTTTTCTGGCAGGCACAGAAAGCTGCTGTCCTCCACTGAGACATTTTGATAGTCCCTTTAATATTCAACTGTGCACCTCTGACTATGGTTAAGTCTCTGACATTAAGTTGCTTGCATGTATAAATGCATGTAAAATGTTTTGAGACATACTTTTTGTTGCATATCTACATTAATGTGAACCTTTTAATCAAAAGCATTATAACATCATAAGTAATTAAAGCCATTTCCAATTTCTGAACACAAGGTACACCTTCAGCGTTCTTGATGTCATTCTTAGAAGTGACATGAACTTCAAAAAAAAAAGTGCATGCTTAAGGCAAAAAATACCCTAATACGTGCTAAGAATATAAATTCTTAGCTGAAATTATTTTTTGGCAAGCTAATGAAACTCACACAATGATCTTATAATAGGACTGCCCACGCAGGAAGCACTACCAGGCTCAAAGATTTGTACATACAGAGGTGGCAAGTTCCTCTTTAATGTGGTTGTATTACAGACCACTTCTACATTTCTAGGAGTTAGATCTCTATTTGGGGTCCTGGGTTGTCCTCTTCCTTTAAACACCAAATTATGTTCCCACCTAATTTAAAAATTAAATGTTTCGGTCCCAGGGTGCTCATATCTGCCTACTTTTTGTCTTTTTTTAAAGCCTTCATACATATAGGACATAACAATGAATTGTTGAGTCCAAGTTCTGGAAACTCAAATACTGAGAATTCAAAAATGAGAAATAATAAATATTAAATTCTGAACTGATTTATAGGCTGGATGTAGGCAAATGGTATGCGATATGCTTATACTGACATTGAAATGGAGCATGCTTAAGACGATATTAAGAAAAACCCAAATGTACAAACCTTCCTCAGGCTCTTCAAAGCATGTAGAGCTCTCACTTTCTTCATTCTGGATTTGCCCCTGCTGAGGAGACAACTGTGGTCTTTCCCAAGTCTTGGGTGGAGATGTCTGAAATTTTAGTTGGTGAGGTTTTCTGTCCACACAAGACCCACTTGCTGTGAACTGGAACAGTGCATTATCAAATTCTGTCGCAAGACTTGATAGATCAGGTTTCTGCAAGAAGCAGTGTTTCACATGATAGTGCTGATGTGCGCCCTGAAGATCATCAAAGTTTTTGTTGCATGCAGCACATCTAACAACAAACATCTCTTCTCTACGTTTCTTTAATGTGTGAGTGTTGAGATGTCTGTTCAAATCAGCAAAATTCTGTGCAGTTGCAGAACAAGTGCAACATCGAAACCACAAGTTGCCTTTCTGCAGCATGGCTTTCTGACAATTCTCATAATCATTCTTCCTGTTTCTTTTGGAGATGTAAGTTGCTCGGCAACCACAGGTTAAAAGGTCTCCTTTTTCTACTGGGAGGAAGTCCTCCTCTTTTTTTATTGATATTTCTGCCTGCTCAGGCACAAATGTATAGTCCATGCTATGAATCTCCCTATAATGGATTAGAAATTCTTCTTCTGTGTCAAAGAAGATATTACCACAAAGGCCACAGAAGAATTTAGTCTGTATCTCCTGGTTATGATGCTCTTGGAAGTGTCGCAGTAGCGTTACTTCTTTACGGAAGTAACTTCTACATAAGCCACAGCAGTATCTGTGAAATGAATGGCTTTCTAAGGACATGCAATGTTGTTTAACACTTTCTTCAGATTCAAACATCTCCTCACAAATGCAGCATTGCCATTTTCCCAGAATAGGGCTTTTTTCAGGGGAGAGTTCTATAGGACTAGGAATGTCTTTCCTTTCATCTGCAGAAATGCATGCTGTGTCAGAAGCAGATGGCATAGGTTCATCTTCTGGAGCTTCTTGCTCATAATAGTAACTATGTCCACCATGAAATTCAGTCACATGTCCCATAATATCCTCTTCTCTGACATCTACAGAGCATGCTCTACACCAGAGAAGAAAATTAGTCAAGTGCGCTCCCCCATGGAATCGACTCATATGCAGGCGGATGATGCTTGAATTTTCAGCAAGCTTTCCACACACAGCACACTTGTGACAGATCCTATTTGCTGATAAAATGTGATTTTCTACTGACTCTTCTGTAAAAAACTTTCGAAGGCACTCACAAAACCAGGCTTTTACTTTGTGGGCACTACCTTGACTTTGCTTTGCTACATGATCTTCATTTTCATGTTTTAAATTGCTCTTCCGTTTTGAAGGAGTAAAGCCCATCTCGCTAGTAGATTCATCAGAAGTCAAGTGTCTTTTAAGCAGTGGTCGTGACCTATCCACAGCATGCCACAAATTAGACTGATTTTTATTTTTTCCATTGATATGACAGAACATCAAGATGGACTCTGCCATTGTAGTAACAGCTTTAATGTTATGCCGAGTGGTTTGCTTATGCTGGATGATCTGATCCTGATTGGCAAAGAGTTTATCGCAGTTCTCACAGTAACCTTCTGTTTTAAAGATCTCTGCAACCTGGGAGATGTTCCTCTTTGACAGTGCCACAGGCCCAGAATTATAACAGCGTGTTCTAGAATGGGTTAAAAAACAAAGTTAAAGAGGTTATGATATAACCTACAATGAAACATTTTAAAACTTTCAGATGTACTCTAACATATTACTTAGTAGGTGCAGCAATTATTGCATGGAATAATGCCCTCTTTATACTTTAACTCGCCTACTAGCCTGCCAAGAAAAACATGCAATACCTATCTAATCTTTTGAATTCTCTTTGAAGAGAATTAGGTGCTGATTTCCAAAACTAGCACTTAGATTGATGCTTATGTTGTTGACTCAATATATTTTAGAAATCTAACACTGCCAATTTACAAACTGCCAACTTAGTGGAACAGAGACCAAGTTCTGTTGCTCTCTTACAGAAAGAAACAAAAAGGATACAGACACCAATCAGCATTCTGCAGTGAATTGTGTGGGATGAAGCAGGCAAAAGACATGGAAAGGGGACAGTTCTTTGATGGCTTACTCAGGAAATCAAATTCATATGGTCCTAGATGCCCTGAAATCCACTAGCACCACTAAAAATATGTCTACCTATCTATGGATATTCACATTATGAAGACAGCCGTCTCTCACAAACCTGAAATGAGCTGTTAGTTCCATATGTGAGCGTAGTGTCTGGTGGCAGGATATACACTTCACTTGGAAGGGGACCTCTTTGCACAGAGATATCAGAAGGTTCTTTGCATAGGATGGGAAAGGTAGAGGAAGGCCAGCCTTCATTTCACCTATAATATGGAATGGCAGGAAGTGCACCCACATGTTAAAGAGTTCTTTCATGGCATTTCATCTCTCAGATGACATAGTTAAACAGGTCAACTGAATGACAGTAATTGTGCAATGGAAGCATAAAGTAAAAATTGCAATACTTCTTTAAATTCTTCTGTAAATTTCATATCTGAATTTGCATCTTGCTTTTTCCATACTTAATGACTGACATTACTTACCTATTCCTCCTTCTAGAAGGTCAGGTCAGATCTCTCTCTCAAGAAGGTTCTTATCGACCATCTTCCCCTCTATCACCATCTGTCTACTCCTACTACACATGCTTTTGTTTAAAGCCATAGTGTGTTTAAAAAGAAAAAATATGCAATTCATTTAACAAGTTCCCACATACTCTGCTAATCTTTCTTTCCCATCCTCAGTATTAATTCTCCTCAAATTTTTAGGTGCAGGACTTTTTGATGTTCCCAGTACATACTCCCTGTCTACCTCCAGGTATCAGCAGTATAAGAAATTTTCTATTGGAAGAGACCCAGTTTTAAAGGCGCCTACAGTCAGCACACTCAGAGTTAATAATCTATTTGAGAATAAAAGTACTGTGCAGCTGATTGTCACTTCCATGAAGATGCCAGTACTGACTTGACCTGCAGGAAGGTTCCTTCAAAGCCTTTATTTACTGTACCCTTCATGCAGACACTCAGTGGGAGGGAAGAAGCAGAATATATAGTTATGAAGATGAGAAATAACTATACTAATACTTTTGACCATGTAGGCTTATCCTGAAAGCTACACTACATACAATGTGGTAGCTTCTTGAATAAAAAGTCAACACCATCTGTATCTCATTTGTTTAAAGTAAATTCTTTAATGCCTATTGCTTATGTCACAGCTAAAGAAGTCAGTATAGTTATGATGGTCATTAAGGCTGTTTCCAAGACCACAATCAGACAGGTATCTTCTGTGGAATCTAGCAAGTATGGTTCTCAGCCTGGAGAAGAGAAGGCTGTGTGGAAACCTCATAGCAGCCTTCCAGTATCTGAAGGGGGCCTAAAAGGATGACAGAGAGGGAGTCTTCATCAGGGACTGTAGTGACAGGACAAGAGTTAATGGGTTTAAACTTGAACAGGGGAAATTTAGATTAGATATAAGGACGAAGTTCTTTACTGTGAGGGCAGTGAGGCACTGGAACAGGTAGCCCAAGGAAGTTTTGAATGCTCCATCCCTGGCAGTGTTCAGAGCCTTGGGTGACATAGTTTAGTGTGAGGTGGCCCTGTCCATGGCAGGGGGGTTGGAACTAGATGATCTTAAGGTCCTTTCCAACCCTAACTATTCTATGATTCTACAGTTCAGGATTTAACCAGCTCACAATATAACATGTATTTTAGCTTTCAGCAGCAATGGGGCCAGTGCAAAGCATCAGACAAGCAGCAATGTTCCATCTAAGCAGGAAAAATTTGCAATTATATGGAGAAGAAACTTTCACAGGTCTTTTCCATCACGAATGCCAAAGACAAGTACAAGAAAAATAGCCTCCAGACTTCAGAGAGTACAGTAAGGGGAAGGAACATCACAACCAGCCTGACTGAAATTGAAAAAGAAATTTATGTTTCAGTCTGAATTCCTATCAACATGCTAAATGTAAACTTATTTAGGACAGCAGTTGTACAGAGTCACTGGAGGATGAGAAGCATATATGAGAGACCTGACAGCATGGAGGTAAAGGAAGGTCTGCTTCTCATTACAGCAATTGTGATGGAAGAATCATTTCTACACAAAAATACAGATTTCAAAGCATCTTCTCTTACAAAACTGTATCACATTTAAGACCTTAAAAGAAAAATAAGAATCCATTAAAAACAAACTTTAAAACCTTAAGCTTTTTTACACAGCACAATTAAGTCATTTCATAGCATAAAGATCAATTATCAGAAGGAATGAAAGCAGCATCCTTAGTAGCAACATACCACTCAATTTAGAATCCTGGCGGAAGTGGTTCTCTCCTGACATATGCTGCAAGCATTCCTCTTTTCTTGTGAAAAGGAGGAAGCAGTCTGGGCAAGCAAAACACTGAATAAGCTGCGGAGGGAGATCTTTTATGTGTCCGTCATTTTCACCTAGCTGGAAAAGAAAATTATCTAATTAGGAAAAACTAAGTCACAAAACTACTCCCAGTTTTCCTCATGTCCTTCCTTTCCTCTATCCCTTCTGTAGTAATGTTGTCACTTCTAGTTTTTCACTTACCACATCTATGTTTACCTACAGCCTACTCCTATGCACTTCAGCTAGTGAAACACAAGGGACTGGCCAAACTGCCACTATCAAACTCAGCTGCTCATCATTGGCAACTTTTCCATTCCTTTCTTGTACCACTGGGAGCAAGCACCTTTCCCAGGAACTATGGGCTACATCAACTCTTAGCTAGTCCCTTTACCCAGTCTCTCAAAAAAAGCTCCTTCTATCACCAAAGCAGCTGGTTTTCCTCATGTCAGTTTTTCCCTACACTTACTAACTGCCAGCTTCTCAAAATGCTGCTCCTCTGAGCAGCCTGACAGGTCTGTGACTTTCAGCAAAGTTAACTCCTCCCACCCCTTTTGCCTTCTACATCAACTTCAGATCCCTGCCTTCAGGGAAAAAAAAAAAAAAATCTTTTAATTTTGCTTCCAACGTTTTTGCTTACTCCTTCCTTATGTGACTGAAAGAATCGTCATGACGTACTTATGCTTTTTTCTACAGTTTCATTTAGGATTATCTCCCCATCCTTCTATACCAAAATAATCCCATCTTCCTGCCTGCTGCAAGAGCCACTCTCTAAGTGCAGCTAATGCCCTTGGACATGCCACAGACACACAACTTGGAAGCAATGGGAAAAGATCAAGTACAAACTATGATGTAAGATTTCAAGCTTGTCAGGTATGACTATGCATTAAGAGTTACTACTACTAGCTAAAAGGAGTCTGATACTCAGTGTATTTAAAACTTACCCTAAATTTAACACAGCTTCTGCAGACTCGACAGATACCCAACAACATTTGTTATTAAAACACTACACTTTGAAAATGCTATCCATTATCCAGTTCAACACAATTGCTTAAGTGAAACAATGCACCCAGAAGATAATACCTGAGCATCTGTCATTGAACTGAGGTTTTACTGGGGTAACTTATGAACAGAAGGGAAAGAAAGCATTATTAAAAAAACAAAAGAGTGAAGGTAGGAAGGAACAACAATAAAATCCCCAAAGACCATTAGCTTATATTAAAATCAAAACTCAAATGCTAGACTATCCTTTTCTCTTCTGTAAGCTAACTAGTGAGTAGCAGCAAATACATAGAAACAGAAGAAACAGTTACATCTGAATCAGTCAAGTTTTGTTTTCCTCATTCTGTCGCCTCTCTTTTCCCAAATCTCCTTCTGCTGCTTCTCTTTTTATGTGACTTATTTCACCCTAACTTCTTGCCTTTATCTTTCAGTTCTGGAGATGCAAAAAAAAGGAATACCTTATGACAGCACCAGTAGAGGGACAAGAGGTTCAAGACAGAACTACAGTCCTCTCAAAAGTACACTAGTCTAATGGTCTAGACCTAATGGGAGTACTGTCAAGATACAGTGTTTGAAACAGCAGAATAAGAAAAATTATCTTGAAGACTAAAAGAAAGGAGGGAAGAAAGAAGGTTAAAAGGATTAAAAATCAAAATCTGTTCATAGATACACATCTTGAAACCCCCCTAGTACTTTCAGTCAGGTGAGTTACTTATCCTCATGATCTTGCCTTATATAAAAGATGATCACTGTACTGCTGAGAGGTTGAAAATATTTGGCAGCATATCACACAGGCAACAGCATTATTTGGGGGCCCACGTAATGTGACTGTTGGGTCACAAGGAGAATGATCAAACCTGGAGAGAAAGAAATAATTAACAAAGTAGTCTCCTCTAAATAGTCAAAACTGTTCTTTTTAATGAAGGAGGGGGGATAAGGAGGGGGATAAAATCTGTCTTTTGAAGATGTTAGACAAAACCCTATCAAATGGACCTAAACTATAAAATTCCTCATTTCCTCTGTCATTAACCATATCAGATGAAGTACCCTGTACAGAGCTGATTCTCCCTGCAGCTTCCCTGTTATAATGACCACTTCGCAGACAAATCATACCATTTTTAAGAGCAAAAGGACTAACAAAACCTCAATTTCCTGCAGAGGAATTTTAAAAAATTATTGATTTTTACCTCCCTGCACAAATTGTGGCTGGGATGGAGTCAATTTTTCTTTGTAGCAGCTTATACAGTGGGTGTGTTTTGGAATTATGAACAGTGTTGATAGCACAGGGATGTTTTAGCTATTGCTGAGCAGTGCTTGCACAGCGTAAAGGCTGCCTTTGTTTTTCAGACTGCCCCACCAGCACAAAGGCTGGGGGTAGGCAAGAGGCTGGGAGGGAAAACAGCTGGGACAGCCAACAACAACTGACCAAAGGGGTCTCCCATACCATGAACATTGTGCTCAGCCATAAAAGCTGCGTGAAGGAGAAAAGGGGGGATGTTCGGAATGATGGTGTTTGCCTTCCCAAGTAACTACTATGTGTGATAAAGCCCCGTCCGCCAATGAGAATTCGTTATTTTGCTTTGCTTGTGCGCACAGCTTTTGCTTTACCTAAACTGGTTTTATCTGAGCCCAGAGTCTTCTCACAGTTTTATCCTTCTGATTCTCTTCCCACCCCACTGGGGCGAGTGAGTGAACAGCCCTCTGGGGCGAAGCTGACTACTACGGTTAACCCACAACACTTCCCACAGCTTCTCTCCTTACCATTTTCCCCACATTCAGTAGTTAAAAGGCAGTATCTGCTGAAACTGACCCCAGACACAGTAAGTGCTGACTAGCAATAATCAGCTATGAACAGTTGTCTGGCCTATAGCTCTTGCTCCTCTTTCCCTTTAATAGGGGTATTTTTTAATCTTACCATCAAGTCATATACATTTTGCTCTTTCTCAAGTTTGGATGAAGATGTAACAGAACTGAAGAATAGAAATCTTGTTTCTCAAAAGTTAAAAAATGCTCAAGAGGAGAGAATCGATTATGAATGAAAAACATCAAATGAAAAAACAACCAACCAGGAAGTTCATCATATTATTTACATAAAACGTCTAACTTATTAACCTGCTCTCCAAGCAGAATTTTGTCACTATAGGTAGCTTAAAATGGACTTGATGTTGATATACTAAGTTGAAGCATATTCTTTCATTATTTCTTTCACTATGTCCTTACCTTTGAAGGTGACCTAAGAGAAGGTGTCCATTATCAAACTCTCTGTTGCAGTGCATCACAGGGCAAGCCATGGGACTGCTGTTGACTTTCATCTGACGGGCTCTTTTGCAAATACCCCTTTTTCCACAGTTAACACTTTCTGGTTTGAGACCTGTGTTATCAAACAAAGCACTTAACTAGAATCTGAATTATAGAGGCTTAAGAAAACAAAATAAAACACAAGCCCTAAAACAAAAAAAAACAAAACAAAACAAACAAACAAAAAAAAAAAAATCGAGCTATATAATTCTTAAAAGCAAGCTAACAATGTACTGTAACTCAACCCTGCTACAGTAAGTCTGTTCTTTCATTTGAAGAATCTGTCTCTTCAATCCCCACTAGGATTACTTTTCAAACACTTCTGACACCTTCCTCAAGGTCTTCCATGCAGTATTTTGTACTGATTGAACATCATGACGTTATACTTATGTAGATATTTTCCTGAGCATAGTTCAACAGTGATGTTTTTCCTTCTAGCAGCTTTGCTTATAAAAGTAGCTAACATCGCCTTAGCAGCTTTCAGACTTTGTATATTGAATTTTGTAAGCAGCAAAACATTGAAAGAATAACATTAGAATAACTAATGCCACACTGTAGCACAGTTAATACTGTAAAATTCGGTAATGCATGAGGCACCTGCAAGCTCAGTGTCGGTACTGCTTAATGCAATTATCACACATTCTATCCTGTGATGCCGGACTTAAAAAAATGTATCACAGAACCTTAAGTTTCCTATTCTTACCTGGCATTTTTAACCATTGGTCCACGCATAATCTTGCGGCTTCTGTGTCACTGTTTGCCCGAATAAATTCTAGTTCTTGCAACCCATGAGCATATTGGGAGTCAACCTTCTCCTGAAGTGGAAAACATGTAATCTGAATTTTGCAGGTCACTTTACCTGAGGAGGATTGAGGAGCCCCCCAGCAGGAAAATACATTAACAAAATTAACAAAAGGATTTTTTAGCCTTCATTCTTGGACTGCTTTAAAAACTACATAGCTATCTCTGACTCCATTTCATAGCTGAGAAAGTATGTGGAAGCATTAACAGATTGCCAGACAGTAAGCGGAGGAAACAGGAGAAGGCCTCTCTGGACTTGAAGGCTACTTTGGACTGTATCTAACAGCCTTTTACTCTGTTGCATTAAAGTTGCATAGACTATTAACAAGTTGCAACTATAGTACAATTCTGTGACCTTAAAAATCATTATGGGTGTTCAGAAAATTAGCCTGGAAAGTCAGCATGTTCTACCAGTATTCGATTTGTCCCTGTTGAATTTCATGAGGTTCTTGTAAGCTCATTCCTTCAAGTAGTCTGAGGCCTACTGACAGCAGCCTTACCCTTAAGACTATTGACTGTGTCTCCCAGTTCATAATAACATGAACCTTTTCAAATAGTTGCACAATTACTAGAATTCAACTTTAAAATTCTGCCTTATGCATAAAAAAATTTACCCCATTATCAAATAATACCTGATACAAAGATTTCATGTGGCAAATGGCTTCCCCAAAATCTCAGACAAAAGCACAATGGTGGTTTGTGATAACTGTTAGTTTTCAATTATTTAACCAGAGTAACTGATGCTGAGGTCCCTTCACTGTATGTACAAACAAGAGAGCAAGTTTTTGCCACTGGCTTACATGAAGTTACTCCCCCTCCCCCCCCCACCCCACCCCACCCCCCTTCGGAACTACAATAAGGCTAGCAAACTGATCAGGTAAAAGCCACTTGTCGTGGTTTAAACACAGAAGAGACAAAGTCCACACTGTGTTTCAAACGATGTTCCAGAAGTAAAAAAACAAAACAAAAAAAACCTCTATTTTACTCACCCATCATTTTATTTACTTAACTGTGAAAGTAAATGCACTCATGACTACAAGGCCTGTATTATGCAATTTTACTTAATTCTACATAATAAAAAAAGCCCACAGTAAGATAGATCCAATACCTTAAAGGCTTTGTTTCTCTCTTCTTTTTGCTGTTTCTCAACTTCTACATGACGTGCCAGACGATCCAAGGTTGAAGCAACTCGTTCTTTCTGATAGTCAATGTGATCTTTACGCTTAGTATTTCTCTGCAATGGAAAACTTAAACTTTTATTTGGTTACTGTTAAGTAACAGGTACTAATACATTGAAAAGCAATGCCCAAGCATCAGGGTGCAATTCAGTACATAATTCCAATCCTAAATTCCAGTATCTACCTTGCTAGTTTTCTCTTCCTATTTACCAGCATCTATAAATTCCATTAACAAACAAACAATCCCCACCCCCTACATATTCAAGGCAATTCGACATCAACATTAGCCTCCCTAAAGCACATAGATGATTATGCCGGGTGTCACAGAAGTTTCAAATTAAAAATAAGTAAATTCTTCTAAGTAGGTGAACAAAAATCACTAAAGCTTTGAAAGGCAACATGCAGCCCACCTGAAAAACTGAGAACTGATATAATTCTTGCTCTTAGACAACACTGCCTGCTATCATCAGAAAGGCAGATTAGCTTTTTCTAGCATCAAGGCTATACACTGTAGTTTGCTCCTGCTGCACAATCAACACTAGCAATCATCCCTGAGGAATGAGCCTGTGCATGTACAGAAGTCCCACCTTTCCTTAAGAACTAGGCTTGTTTCATACATCCTATACTGCAACACTGGAAAACATAAGCCAAGAGATGTCCACTGCTGCCAAAAACAGCTCTAGCAGAGTGATTCTCAGTCACCGTCTCCCTCAAAGGCCCTGCAGAGTAGGCACAATAAGCTTGGGGGATACCTGAACTGACCTGCTTCTGACTCTTACATTCTTTAGAGGAATTATGAAGAGTGAGGGTGAGGTTGCCATCAGAATAAGATCCTCCAATCTATGAACTGCTCCTTACAAATTATTTTAGAAGAAAAATGCCTGGGAATAGCCCATATGACATTTGCAGGCTAGAAACCAAACACACCAATTTATGAGGTCATTTGAATTTTTCTTCAACACACTTGCTAAAACCACTGAAAGTCAACTCAAGTCCAAGTCCTTTTCAAGAAGGCAAAAAACACCTCAGGAAAAAAATGAAGTGTTGGCATTCTTACCTTCCAATCAAGAGGAGGTAAAAATCAAAAGACTTCAATACTGCTTTATTTATTACTTGTTAAAAATACCTCTAACAAGTATTTTTATGAAAAGTAACTGATGGGAAAAAATACAGACTAATTATTTTACCAGCTGAGAAGTCCCAAAATATATTACAACATACTCACATGAACATAATAACTGCTATTAGGTTCTTCATCCTCGCTACTGACAAGATCAATGCTTTCAAGTACAGGCCTTAAGGGTCCTTCCTGAAAAAATGAAATGAACATGAAAGAGGATGAGTAATTCAACATACACCAAATGTACACCAATACCCAATCTTTGGGTAACAAGGCCTAGCTAACAGACACCTGGCCCACAGGCATGTCATGTAAGGCTTTTTTGTTTGTTCAGGTTTTAGCTTGACATGCATTCAGACCAAATACCCAAGCTGCTTAAAAAGCACAATTAAATTTCCGCATAACTATACACACACTAGCACACAGAAAAAATGAAACTAGCTTTCAATATGTGTGACCACAAACTTAATGTATCTTTGACAAAATAATTACATAAGAATAATTGTGTATACATGTGTAAACACACTAATTATAATGGAAAAAGCTCACATTAAAGTGCACTAAAAAACCCTGGCACAAGTTGTACTATTTGTGCTTTAAATCTCTGTTCCTGCAGGTTTCCAGCTTTAAGACTGCTGAGTAACTGACCAATGTTGTGAACCAACATGTATTTAGAAAGTTTTGATTTCTGCAACCTCTCAGGTAATAAAATTCAAGTCCTTGGCAGACTTGGGTTGGGAGCAAAAATAAAAGTCCTGTTTCAGAGATGCTCTGTAACAACTCTACAATTTTACCCAGTTCCAGCTGTAATGTAACTGAAAGCTAGAGAAGCAAATATTTGAGTCTGCACACCTAATATCTAACACCCCAGGGGGAAAGGAAACAAAATATTTACATAGTAACATGTTTCAGCAAATCACTTGATTTTGGTATATCCCAGGGTCAAGTGCTCTTCAGATATTTTTATTGAAAAACTACAACTACAAGGAAAACTAAAAACTTGACCTGCTCCTTAAGACCTCTGTAGGAGCTCAAAGAGCTGCAACTGTTTTTCATGAATCAATTTTTCTAACATCATCAGTTCTCAAAATAGGCCAGAAGTCCTCTTTAGGTTTGAAATAAAATGAAGTATTCATTTGCAAGAAATTAAGTGGCTGCTCCAACTCTTTCAGGACAGAAAAAGTATGCATCTTTTGCTATGAAATGCAGCCAAAACACTGTAAAAGGTCAAGGCTGCAAGGTAGATGAAGTATATTTGTCTTCCCTGGATCTCAAATTGAAATCATTATTGAACAAGCCAGAGCCTATGGAATCATGTTTTTCTTTGAATTTCTACTTCTGAAATAAAAATCACCAACAGTGAAGAAAACTTTGCATAAATTGCATCAGAAAATGCAAGTAATTTTTAAATACATAGCTCTTCAATTTTCCAGTTGAGTTTTATTATATACTATATATAGTATACAATATATATTATATATTGGAAGATATATAATCTTCCTATGCATTTAACACGTTTACAGAAATTAAACACAAATACCCTCCTTAACATTGTTTGCCATTCATTGTAACACAGCAGAGGAGCCAGAAGTTATTTAAACACTTTATAGAACTATGCATTATCTTGAGCTCCCACATGTAGTAACAAAGGTAAGGGCAGCAAAGGCCTAGAAAAGGCACCAACTTTATCACGGAAAACTCTTTCAAAAAAGCAGCATAATGAAGAGCTTTGTCTTTAAAGAAATGTCAGGAAAAAAAATATGAGTGGATCAATACCATTAAAAAAAACAAACCAAACAATTCAGGAGTCCAATGCTTTCAGAGCAGACTGTGGCAACTTGCATAATCTGTCTACTTAAGTGCTACAGACCCCATTAAACCTGTGAATCCCTTCACTCTTGCCTTACCCTTACCAAGGAAACAGAATGGGGGACTGTCCTATTTTAAGAAATCAAGCTATTAGGAACACTGGCTTGCATTGTAGATATATTTTTCTGTTGGTATGCAAAACTTTAATGACTTTAAGTGGCCAGAATACTTTTCATTGCAGAATTAAAAGGTGGGAATTACAGAAGAACAGTTAAGTTTCCTGAATGAGGGCGAATCTGACTGCAAAGGCTGAAAAAACTCTAGCAGCAGCAGAGCTTTTGCTCCATCAAATCAGGACTTTCCTCAGTCCTACAGTAAGAATTCAAAACTCTAAGGCAAGTAATTGAATTGGAAAAAAAACCCAAACAACAAAACAAAAAAAAACAACACAAAAACCCAACCAAACAAACCCCAAAACATACCCCAAAACCCCTTCCCTCCAAAACAAGCAAACAAAAACCCCACACCAGTGACGAGGTAGCAGTCATACACAATGTTTATGATGAAGCCTACATACTTTACTATATGGAAATGATGATCTAAAGCTAACCAGGTAGTTTACAAATCCTTTTGCAAAGTCCAAGTTCACCCTCACTCAGAAGGGCAAATGGGAGATCCAAGGACACACTGCCCATATTAGGTGGTGGTCAGGGTCACACATCTTTTCCCTCATCTTCATCAGTGACAACAGTAAGCTCTTCATCCCAAGATATCAATCCTACACAAACTAGCCTAAGCACAGTCATCTTCTTATATAGAGCAGCATGGCTCAGAAGCAATCATCTCTGTGACCACAGATTCTCCGTATTATCCACAGGTGAAAACAAGAAAAAAAAGTTAACAGAAGCATTGATTTTAATAGGTCTCAGTTATTGCTCTCGGTGCTCCAGCAGCCCCTCTATCATTACACATTCAAAGCTATACTAGCTTCCTCCTTCTTTGCCCAGTATTTCAGGAAAATGAAGCTTATACAATCATACTGCACGTGAATGCCTGTGTGTGTATATAATGAACTTAGAACTCATTAGTCAATTTTGACCAAATCAATTAAAAGACCAAGAAGTCTCAGATCAACTGCTTGTAATTTTCACAAAAATATTGCACATCCCTTATACTCGAGCACCTAATACCCCTGCAGAAAAGGTCTGTACATTTATCAACTCTAATCAAACACCATACAAAATAATAATAATAAAAAAATCTAGTTATTGTTCAGCATTAAGGACAAGACAAATCCATAGGAAACCAGCAATTATTAGTCCTGGCATCAATTAACCACTTGATCGTATTCACATAATTTGTTCCTTAAGGAAAATCATCTTTCTGCCATCCAGCACCTCCATATGATGACATATTGAGGCTAAAACACAGGCAGCACCAAAACCGCTCTGCTTTGCTTGGACATTCAACAGATATGGGTCTTAAAGTTACATCACATAAGCCACATGTCAGCATCAGACTGTGTTGTACTGTAGCTATTATACAGTGCTTCACAATTGAAGGCTGTTTAAGGCCTCTAACACATAATTTCCTTCCTCTTCTTAACAAAGTATAGTGGTTTATACAGTTTTGCAGAACGAGCAGTGCTTTATTCCATTAATTTCTGTGGGGCTACTCATGAAGTAAAATGCTATGCAATCTAATTACCAAAAAAGCCAGCTATGGTGGCTTCTCATATGCGTCATTGATCACTGTAATCCCTCACTCACCTCCTGGGACACTCAAGTCTACATTCTCTATATAGGACTGACATCATTTAACACTCTTCCAAAACAAACAAACAAAAACCAACCAAAAACCAAATCTCCAAACCAAGCACATAAACCTTTAAGATAAGCTTGTTACCCACCATAAAGGCTCACAAATTAAATTCTCTTTAAATTCAAAAGTAATGCTTTCCATTGAAAATAAGACCATAGCCACAGTACACAAAGACCCCCTCCTGTTTCACTGGGCTACCAAGAACATACCACAACAGGCAGTGCATTTTCAGCAAGTGGTCTACTTACTCCAACGAACTCAATCTCATTGTCTTCACTTTCAGAGGCTGACGGACTCTTGGAAACTATGCCGGAGTTATGAGACTCCATTACCTAAACAGAAACAAAACATGCTTCATCAATTTATTTCGTAAGTTTTCTTTAACTATGCGGCATTTTCCGTTTCATTCCTACTGTGGCTTTAAGGTCAGAGCTCAGCGCTTAAATCTGAAGAGGCAGATCGGAGCTCCCGCTTAACGGCGCTGTGTTACCAGTAGAACACAGGACAATTCAGTAACAGCCGCGAAGTGAGCTCCGGCATTATTAGCAGCTGCAGGCACTTTTGATGCTTCCGGCCACTCCTGACCCACCGCAGAGCCCAACGGCTGAGCTTCTTCCTTCAAAACAACCGCCGTCCTTCTAAACGGAAACACCTCCGCGAGCGGCTCGCAGAGGAGCGGCGGCCCTCCCGGGTCCGCCCCCGCACCTCAGCCCCAGCGGCCGGCGCTGCTGACTCACGTTTCTCTACCCGCACGGGCGCCACAGTGCCCGGTCAGTCAGACCGCCGCAAGGCCGCTCGGCCGCTGCGGCTCGGGGGAGCGGCGGCCTCCCCGCCCGCCCAGCGGCCCCGCGGGGGTTGGGTTGCTAAGCGACGGCCCCACCAGCACCCGAAGACACCCCAACGCACCGACCCGGCGCGCCTCCGCTTCCTCTTCACCCCGGGGGCGGTGGGGAGGGGAGGGTGGGGCGGGAGCGCGGCGCGGCTTGCCGGGATTTGTAGTTGCCCGCCTGCTTCCCCGATGGCAGGTGCCAGCGCTACCTCGACAACGCCATATGCGCAGCCCTCCCTTCCCCCGCGGCGGCGTTTCGGGGCTCTTTCCTCCAATAATTTCCTGCCTCCCCTGTGCCACCTTCGGTTGGGATGCTCACGGTTCCTGCTCGGAGGAGGAGAAGCTACACGCCGCTTCCGGGGCAGGCGGAAAGTGGCGGCCATTGGGCTGACAGCGGGCAGGGAGGGAAGGCGGGAAAATCGCCTGTGCTGGGGAGGGCTCGCCGAGGCGGAGGTCGCGGGCGGGCAGCGGGTGCTGCCTGTGCTCACTGTGCGGCAGCGTTGTGCGGGTTTCAGGTCACCTCACGGCCTGCTCATCCATGGCTTGGCTGCGGGGAGCCTGTGGGAGACAGTGCCAAGTGAAGTATAGACAGACAGCCTCTTTGCTCTCCCCTCATCTACTATGCCAGTCTGAGAAGCTGATCCATGACTTCCACGTAATAAAGCCATACTGGTCACTCCAGATAATTTTCTTGTGCCTGAAAATGATTTCCAGGATTAGCAGCTCCATCACCTTCTTGGGGCTCAGGGTGAAACTGACAGGCCTGTAGTTCTGTGCATCCTCCTTCTTGAAGATGGAGGTGACGCTTTCCTCCAGTACTCAAGCACCTTTCCTACTCGCTATGACTAAGCAAAGATTATAAAGAGTGGCTTTACAATGACATCTTCCAGCTCCCTCAGCACTTCTGGGTGCATCCTATCAGGGCCCATGTATGTCCAGTTTGCTTAAGTATCCCCTGACCTGATCCTCTTCCCCCAAGGATACCCCTCCTTGGTTCAGCCTTTCCCCAGTCTGTGGGGTTTCTGAAGGCTGGTCTTGATAGCAAAGACTCAGGCAAGAAGGCATTCAGTAACTCAGCCTTTTCCACATCCTGTGTCACCAGGTCACCTGTCATTCAGCAAAGGGCCCATTTTTCCCTAGTTTTTCTCTTTTGTCACCTGTGTATTTACAGAAACTATTGTTCTTGTCCCAGCTAGGATGGCTTTGATATCCCTGGCTAGATCCACTTCCAGTTGGGCTTTAGCTTTCCTAACTTCATCCCTATATGCTTGAACAATGTTTCTGTATTTCTCCTAGGTTACACATCCTTGCTTCTACCCTTTGTGTGCTTTTTTTTATGTGTCTGAGTTTGACCAAGAGCTGCTTCTTCATCTACACAGGCCTCCTGGCATTTTTACCAGACTTTCTAGTCTCTGGAATGAACTGCTCCTGAGCTTGGAGGAGGTGATCCTTAAATATACAAACCAGCTTTTTCAGGCGCATCTTAAGTCCAGGGCCTTATCGCATGGGGCTCTTCCAAGCAGGTCTTTGAAGAGGCTAAAATTCACTTTCCCAAAGGCTAGGATTGTGAGCCTGCTTTTTACATTCCTCCCTCCCCTCAGGATCCTGAGTTACACCATCTCATGGTCACTGCAGTGAAGGCTGCCTTTCAGCTTCACGTTCCCAACAGGCTCCTTGTTGGTAAGAGGTCCAGCAAATCACTGCTATTCATTGGTCCTTGTTGACTCCTTTATGTCTTGGAAGAGGAGGTTAGCAGGGCACTGTATTGCTTATGTGTTGTCTCTCCAACAGCTATCTGTGTGGTTGAAGTCCCCCATGAGGACAAGGCTTTGTGAATGTGAAGCTGCTCCTATCTGCCTACCTCATTCTCTTGTTCTTCCTGGTCAGGCAGCCTACAGCAGACACTAGATCACCTTTACCTGTCCTCTTTCAGTCACTCTCCATAAATCCTCATTTGGTTCCTTGTCCATTGCCAGGCAGAGCTCTATACACTTCAGATGCTCTTTCACATAAAGGGCAACTTCCCCTCCTTGTTTTCCTGGCCTGTCCACCCTAAGGGGCTGGTCGTCCTTCATTGTAACACTCCAGTCAGGGATGCCGTCCACCACATCTCTGTGATCCCAACATTCCTGCAGCTGCACACAGACTAACTTATCATGGTTATTCCTCATACTCCTTGTGCAGGCAGCCATCATACTGGCAAAACCAATTTTGCCCTGCATAATGAGGTGGATCTCATCTCTCTCAAGCAGATGGTGATCTGCAAGCAGTGTCCAGTGGTCATACAAATCAAAACCTTGTCACCAACACCAGTTCTGCAAACGATTATTTACTTGTGTTATTAGTGCCCTTCTCATCTCCCCTGACTGCCAGGATGATGGAAAAATCGCTTGGGCTGCCATGTCCATGATTTTTGCCATGTATCTGCTGCTGCTCTGCTGCTTCAATGTATGATTACTTTGAGCCACCCAAAGTAAAAGTTGGTATGAATCATCTTTACTCGCTGCATTGGCCTTGAGTAAACTGAACAATGTAAACATCACCTTTGAATTGTGTGTCCATATAAAAAGAGAGGCTTGCACACAAACAAAGCACTTCACTGGTGCATGCTTATCAAATCCATTATACACAGGAGAGAAAGAACTCAGGGTTGCATGTTAAATTGATATTACGGCAACTTCATGAATAAACAACTATCAGGACATGTCGAGTGGTATTTAATGTCAGCAGTAATTTAGTGCACTTATTTTTCTTGTAAACACAGTTACTATTGCTAATGTTAGTTTTAAGCCTCCTTCCATAGGTGAATGAAAAAATAGCTTTATGTTAGAAAATAGACACACTGAGATGCTAGCTTTATATACTGGTTACATACTCATTAACAAATAAAACTTAATCACTACTGTTGGACTGTATAATAATACTGATTTGAGCAGTGGCATTTATGGCATTATTAAAATAATAGAAACCTGACTACCACTTGGAAAACTAAGGTCATTGTTGCTGCCTGAACTTTCATATTTTGCATTACAACTTGGATTTGCTAACAGTACATTGATAGCAGCCATTCTGTTTGCATCTTGCATTTGCACTTAATTACTTTTGATTCTTGAGGACAGATAGTATGAGGTGCAATAGTAACAGGTTATTAGAGCAGCAAAGTGGCATTATTTTTCCAAACTCTGATACCAAATGAAAATGGCACTCATTTCAATATTAATGTTTCAGCAGTAAATCATGTAAATGCTTACTCTTGTAATGACACATCCAAAAAAACCCTCCTTTTATTTAAACAGTACAGTTAAGGAAAAAAAGTAGTCAGGGAATTGCCATGCAACCATGTCAGCATTTCCAATATGCTAACAAAACTATGAATCTCTGAATTTGTGTATTTCAGCTAATTCCTGGGAAAGCATGGGCTTCCCAGTTTGGGTTAGCTTAGGAAAGTTCTTATACAGAGTTTATTTCATAGAGAGGAGAGAAAATGTACCCTGCTGGACTTCTTGGCTGCACAGCACATTCACTATCTAATTCAGTAAGACAGTAAGCATTTTCAACACAGGCAGTAGATTGCCAAATGCAGGGGCAGACAAACCTAGGAGAGCATGGCGTGCTTAGGGTTTGCTCTTCATAAGCCAGGATCTCCAAGTCCAAACCTTCAAACAAGGTATGGGTATCACATAAGATATGGAAGTTCTTTCTGAGCAAACTGTCTGTATGAACTCTCTAATGCTCTGTAGCAACTAATTCCATAAATTCATTATGTGCCCTTGATTATTTTTTTTATAGAATTTAAACATATTTCACTACCTTGTTTCTTTCCTTGCTCATAAAAATGATTGAAACATTGTCTTTCTAAACATTTATTTCCTTCTTGTGTCAACAATGCATGCTGCTCTTGATCTAGGAAATTTGGATGTCTGGTATTTTGTTTTGTTTTTTACTCCTATCTATATACCATAATAAGAGGGGACATGCATTAAACCCCCCCAATTTATTCAAGAGGGTACCCTTTCAGTAAGTTTTTTATCACGTTCTTCACATATCTTAATTTTTTTCCTTTTTAATAAAGCAAACATTTTTACTGAGCAGTTCATAATAAACAACCACATTCTTTTCCATGGTAATCTTCAAATTTAATCTAAAATGCAACAGTAGAAACAAATAGTTCAAATTATTAGTTTTAGCATTACTTACCTTTTCAGCTGTACAGTCATATAGCTGTTAGGTTTTCTGCACTAGTCGTCAGCCCTCTCCAAATTTGAGTAACAGAAATGTGTTCTCTGTCACTCGTGTAAGAAACATTTTACCCTTTGTGGCACCACACTTTATATATCAACAACAGATTTTGGTGCAAATTTTGGGAGAAGCAGCATTAGACTCTTCTGTTCTTCTCTCTCTTTCTGTAATTTCTGACGTGTCATCTGTGATTATCTAGGATTCAATTTTGTGTTCTCAGAACTTCCCAGGGCCATTTTGGAAAACAACTTGTATTTTCTTCCTTTTTGTCATACTGCAAGGAGAATGGCTTTTCCTCTTTTTTGGAGAAGAGGAGACTGAGGGGTGATCTCATCAATGTTTACAAATATGTAAAGGGTGAGTGTCAGGATGATGGAGCTAGGTTTTTTTCAGTGATGTCCAGTGATAGGACAAGGGGCAATGGGTGTAAACTGGAGCATAGGAGGTTCCATGTGAACATCAGGAAAAATTTCTTTACTGTGAGAGTGACAGATCACTGGAACAGGTTGCCCAGGGGGGTTGTGGAGTCTCCTACATTGGAGATATTCAAGGCCTGCCTGGACAAGTTCCTGTGTGATGTAGTGTAGGTTACCCTGCTCTTGCAGGAGGGTTGGACTAGATGATCTTTTGAGGTCCCTTCCAACCCTTAGGATTCTGTGATTCTGTTAACTGTATAGTTGTGTAAAAGCTATTCTATCCATTGGAATAACATCAGTCATACTTTAGGAAAGAGGAAGGAACTGCTCTTTATAGCTTGCTCCCTCTTTACTCTTTGGTAAAACATTAAAATGTCCCCTTCTCTTTGTTCTTTTTATCCAGA